GGGGGGGGAGTGAATTGCATCAAGTACAAGAGCTGCATTTAAGTCGAGGAGAACGATACGAACGGATTTTGACGAAACTGTACGTCTGACACGTGTCGATCACGAGTATCTTTATTTATTATTCTTCCATGAATGCGGGTGTGTTGCGTGTGGGTGAGTGAGTGTATGTATGCGGGAGAGAGGGAGGGAGGGAGAGAGCGAGCGAAAGAGCAATGCGTGTGTGCGTGTGCGCGTGAATAAATGCGGGAGCTCGTATGGGGTGTGCGCGTTGTATGGCGAACGGTAGAGCGGAATGAGGATACGCGAAAGTCAGCGTATCGTCCAGACATACCACTTACGCATAGATAACTCTCTATACATAATGAATTATACGCATCGTACGCGANATATATATATATATATATAAATATATAAATATATATATAGATAGATAGAAATGTATATTGTATATTACGTTTGTATAAAGAACAAACTTTTCTACGGTTAATTTATTTGCGGCTGTAACGCTAAGTTGTATGGTTCATGATAGAGCGAGATGCGAATTGGTATAGAACAGCGGGAGAGGAGGAGGCATAAGGCGAATCGTACCAATGACATGGACCAATATGGCCGCTGAGTGAAGCCCGCATAAGTCCGCGTAAGCGTAACAAAGCTTTTCCGGCGATAAAGAGGACGGAAGTCGGTGGGAGAGGGAAAGAAAGAGAGAGAGGGGGGGGGGGGGAACGAAGAAAGATACAACGGGAAACAATAGAATTTTCGTGCCGTACGACACTGTTCGTCAGATTTGTAGATAGCGAGAGGGGTATCTCGGCGAGGTGGGCGATGGGGAGGGGGCGCGGAAAACGATGGAAGCGCGCGCGCGGAGCGTCGCTTCGGAAGGACTTTTCACGTTTTTATTTCGTCGATATTTTTCTCTCCAGTATTATCTAGTCCTGCGAGCGTTTCTCCCTCTCTCGGCCGGCGTTTGCCGTCTAGAAACGCGGGCCATGCGGCGTGTACACGCGCGTGTGGGAGCGGAGACGCGCGAGAAAGGGGAAACTCTCCCCGCGCCTGGGTGTTCCCTCTTTGCCTTCGTCCGCTAAAAATAGGGACTCATAATCGGTAACATCACGGATACGCACTCGCACTCTTTCTCTCTCGCTGAATCTGGAATCTTCTTCTCATCTCTTCATCTCTCTCCCTTCTTTTTTATCTTTCTTTCGAACTATATCAAGCGATACGCTCTTTCTCTCACCGAATCAGAAATTTTCTTCACGTCTCTTCATCTTTCTCTCTCTCTCTCTTCTTCCTCTTCATTTTTCTCGAGCGGCATGCGATCGGCGCGATTCAACAATAGAGCCATCGGTAGGCTTCGAGATCCGAAACGACGCCGTATATCAAGCGCAATTCCCACCCCCGAAAGAACAGCTCGACATCTTTCTCTCCCTCCCTCCCTCCCTCCCTCTCTCTCTCTCTCTCTCTCTTTCGGCGGCTCGCTCACCCTTCTTGTAAAGGGCATTGCGAACAGTGGCAGCAAGAAGAGCGTAGACGCGACGGAAGAGGGAAAAATTCCGGGAAGAGCGTTATGGCCTCTCTCAGTGCGAGAATGCGGCAAGACATGAGGAAAAGCCCCGACCGCCGTAGGGGTTAGGGAGGGGAAGGTCTCGGGTGCGAGGAGGCGATCGTGAGAGAGAATACCGGAGCGATTAACGAGCGGGCCTCTGTCCTTCCGCGACTCCTGAGTCGATTGAGACGCTGTCAACCTTCCGGCTGTTCTGAGCGTTCCCTCTTGAATCGTCCGAAAGACGTCAGACTTTTATCCCCCTTACGACGAGACGATTTCTCGGATCTCGAGGTTTTTTTATCAACCCCTTCTCTGTCGTGCACGATGCACCGATTCTGCATGAAACGTGGTAAAAATGATATACCGTCTTCTTATATCAGCGAAATGTTCATCACAGTTTATTATAATAATTATCGGTGGAACGTGATAGTTTTCACAGGGAAAAATGAAGCACGAGGATGGAAATAGTGAAAATCGGCTGGACAGAGAAAGGGGTTGGAACAACAATCTCGCCGATTCCTCATTTCGTCGCTGTTCCAAGCTCCACCTAGTGTCGAAAATCAGAACATAGAACTTGAGGCTGGGATCTGTGCGAATCGAAAGCCGGGCGGAGCGCGCACGCCTCCTGAAGCTGACGAAGCTGCCGCGTGTTTCCGGCCTCTGCGGCGTCGTTGCTTCGGCGAACGTCCGTCGAGTCCCTTCGAGCCTCAAACGGTACGACGAAAGCCGGTTGCACTCTATGCCAGAACACGTGCCGAGAGCGTATCGATAAGATACGAGGTCTTATATCTTGACGCATCGAATATATACCGGGTGGTGAAACTTGATCGTACCATTTGGGGATCGTGCCGCGTTTTGCATTTTTATCCTCGACTCTCCCGCCTCCTCTTCTCATTTCTTCTTTCAATGCGCATCGCAACCGACGAGATTTATGCACGACCCGAATCGAGATTGCCGCCGATTGAACGTTCGCCGAGGGAGACAATGCGATTGCGCACACGATCGACTGGCGGAGCCGCGAAAGGACACGAGGGCTAACAGGCGTGAATGGAACGCGAATGCGTGCGTATACGTACGTGTGTGTCTCTGTGTGCGTTGGTGTGTGTGTATGTGCACGACGCGTATGTTTCTCGCGCGCGTGCGCCTCGCGTTTACGCGCACGTGCGCGCGGGTGTGTGTGTGTGTGCGCCTCGCCGAGCGAAAGAGGATAAGGATTTTTATTAATATTAAGTCTATACGTTTCTGTATATGTCTTGTAAATATATGTATATGTATACATATATATATGGCGTGCATATACATATGTATATATATATGTACACACACACACATACATACATAGACTATGTATATACTTGTGCATTTATATATCCAGCACGTTCGCAGAAGACAGTTATCGTGAAGCAGTGTTTCTTCACCACCCTACCCTTTCCCTTTCCTCCGACGACGCGCGACGAGGCCTCTTTTCTTCATCTTTCCTCGCATGAGGCTCGTGCGATTGCGTATCAAGGTCGAGTCGGAATAGAACACTCCGTGCTGCGGCCGCTCGAGACATCTAACAATCGCGCGAACTGTTAATTCCAATGCGAACACGTTCGGCCTGGCGATATTAACTCTCTCGGCGGCCCACGTTGATGCCGGCTAATTTCTTTGTTCTCACGTATACCGGTACACTTCGCATTCGTGTCGTAGCCATTGTAGCCTTCGAGCACGCGCGCGAGGTAAGGAACGGCGGTGTTCCGCGCATCGAAGATGCATCGCCGCCGTCGATTGTACGTACCTCCTCGTGTCATTACATCATTGACATTTCGCCGCGATTATTTATTTGTGCGCATTCAAATGTTAGTGGGACCAGGTGGCGACTCCCCGCCACCTCCGCTCGCATTGTGTCCTCGCGCGCACGGAGGGAATATCGCAGCTTTCTTTCTTGTCCGTGAAATTCCTCGGCGATATCTTGTCATCATGTTCTCCAGTGATGGCGGGAACAGGCGGTAGAGTTTATCTCGCTGAGGAACACAGTGAAATCTTTTTCATTTAAAGCCCGTAAATTCTTCGTTCGGTTATTCCCTTTCGTTTTTCTCAGCGACCTTCTGCCGTTGGACATAGAAAAAAGAAATGGTCAGTACACACGGAGAGAGAATAAGAGCTTCCACGGGTAACAATCCGCACAATACAACTAATTTAGTTAACACGTTCATCGCCAATCACGCGATATCGCGTGATGCGAGTTCTCACCAAACGGCCGATCACGCGTTATCGCGTAATAGATATTTAGAGTACGTAAATTCTATGTACATAATAATAAAAGCATATAAATAATATATTGACTTATTTTGAGCAGAATAAAAACTAAATAAAAAATTTGGCCACGACACGAAATTCCAATTTTCAGCTTGGCAATGAACGTGTTAATTCTTAGGAACTTGGTTGATTCTTTTTACCTAGTTTTCAACTTCCACGGCTGGAAACTAAATTTCATTTATATCATATGGACGGTTGATTCTTTTCTTCCGCGGCAATATTGAACCGAATTACGCTTGTGGAAAAAAATCAGCCTTCCCCTCTCGCAAAAATCCTGACAGACTTATCGAACGATACAGGATTCCCTTCGTGCAGAGATTCAACGGAGGGGAGGAAGAGGCGGCGATCGTAATGAAGTATCGGTACTTGACGCGCGTCGATCGCGATCGAGGGAAAAAGAGCAAGTACGGAGGAGCGTCTCAACTGGGAACCGCAGAACAGCTCGAGGGACACCGCGGCTTCTCCCGTCGTTGGCTTTTATTTTCCCCTCGTCTCTCTTCGCCTCGATCGCCGTGTGTGACATTCAGGAGAATATATATCCTTCCGAAAGTCTCTCTCGCCGCCGGAGCTGTCTCACGGAGAGAGCCGGTCGGCCGGTGCGGATCTCGCGGCGGAACGGATATTTGCTTTGCGGCCGATCGACAGGGCGATCGTTACCGAGTGGCTGCCAGCAGTTCATCATTAGCGGGCAATTGAATGCATCACGGCGGAGGAAGCGAACGGATGTAAGCCCGTTAGTCCGACGCGCGATGCAGTTCTGCCGTAACGTTGCGCGCAGCGCGAAGAAAAGTCCTGAGGAGCAGCAGGACTCCATATCCCTTTCTCTCTCTCTCTCTCTCTCTCTGTCTTCGTCAGTCTCCGGCTGTCTCTGCTTCTTGAGATGGAAGGATAAAAGCGGGAGATAGCAGTTGTTAGGAGGTGTTAACGGCGAGATTATAAAACGTCATACGCACTCGGCCGTAATTAATAATAATTATCTCGGAGATTAACGGACTTCTCGGTCACGATGTGGAAGGTGACAAGTGGGATTTTCCTTGGGGAAGAGAAAATCTATATAATTCTATTAAAAAAAAAATACAGTTGATCTTTAAACGATTTTGAATTATTTGACTATGCGACGAAATTAAGATCACCAAAGTATATCTCCTTCCGAATCCTGCAAACTTTGGAACGTTTCTATTTTGCTTTATTTTTTATATATTTAACTCTTTGCACTCGAGGGCTCCGGAGCGGAGCCCTCGGGTGCAAAGGGTTAAGCATCTCAATTTAAATGCCGCAACCTTTATTCGTGGATATATAAAATTTACGAAATATTTGAAACAAGCAACGTTTACTTGTTGTACGCAGTATTTTTCTGTGTGTGAAAAGTCGCTCGAACTCGAGTGATTTTACCGTTATTCTACTCTTCGAGTGAGATTTCTCCTCGAAAGAAAAAAAACTTAGTAAAATCCAGTCATTTTGCATGACTATTACATCTCCTCGCATCTCGTCTCTCATTATTTCATTCAACAACAACAACAGTAATTATTCAGCACTCGGAGGGAAGAAAGAGAGGAAGGGAGAATAGCGAGCGATGAGGACGACACGCAGTGGGGAGGGCGAATTGCCTGATGACGACATTCCTCGAGCCGGCGGCTCGCAGGTGCACCCCGAAATTACCGAACGGAGGTCGAGCGGCGACTTCGCTAACGAAAGTCGAGAAATTCGGCCGCTCCGTCCGCCTGCCCGTCCATCCATTCATCCATCCATCTGTCCACCCGTCGTCCATTTCTCTCGTTCGTGACCGATTTGTAATGCCGCGCGTTAATCGAGAAGAAGAGAGAGAAAGAGAGGAAGGGGGCGTGGAAAGGTCCGGACGCGCGCGACGAGCCGAAAATAAGAAGAGAGCAAAGTGGCCGGCTGGTCCACTGGTGTCATGTGACCGGAAGTGGCATTCCTTCCTCGCCTCCCTATCCGTCGGCACTGGCAACACCACCACCACTGTTGTCTTCCACGAAGCCTCGAGAGGAGCCAGTACCCAGCCCTCCTTTTCCCCCATTTCCCCCTCGCTCTCCTATCCCCGCGACCCGAGCTGTTACTTATCCCTTCCTCCACGCTCGAGCGAACACAGCAGCAACAACGGAAGATTGCCCTCTCTTGGCGACTCGTTAAGCATGTCAAAAGACATATCGGGGCGTCACGGAGGGACGCGGTGGACAATGGATTTCCGTGTTTAAAGCGCGATGTTGAAAGAGAGAGAGAGAGATCCCGTGAAAATTATACGGGCCTGTACAGCACCGGTATACAGTCCCCTTNCCCCTTTTCCCCCCCCCCCCCCCGTACGTCACAATTGACAGATGAAACGTGGGAGTTGTCGCGCGCGACTGTCAATAGCGCGCTGTTCCTCCTAACCGCGCGCCACGCGCGCGACGTCCTCCGCGTTTCGGCAGGAAATCGTGCCGATGGGATGCAGGAAGGACCCCCGTGGAGAAACGCGAGGAGATTGCAGACATAATACGGCCGAGCTTGAACGGATCTCGGTGTAGTTTTAGAGTTCCGGGAGAAAATTTAGTGAAACTCCGAGTGAAATATTATCGATTAAACACTATCTGGACGATAAAGCACTATCTGGTGGGCTTCGATACTAAAAAGACCGTAAAGACGGTAATAAAAGAAAAAGAAAGCACGGTAAAAGTAATTCATTCTTTACGCCTAAAGCGGAGTACGGGAGAGGCGGGAAATCCACCGAACCTGTCGAATAAGAGGAACGATGTTTATGCGACGAGGAATAACGCGATTATCGAGATTGTAGCCGCGCGTATTCTCTCATTCTATCGGATTTTCTAAAGCGGGACGATGCAGAGAGATGCCGGTACGGGGAGTACCGAAGAGCGGGGAGACACTCTTCTTAAAGTTGCGAACAGCGTCGCGTCCGCGACACGAGAATGTCATAGACCGGATGTGTTATGTCCACACACATGCACACACGTAACGCCGCTCGTTCCCGTTTCGCGATAAAAGAGCGCACGGAGTGACGCAACGTCGCTCATCGAACGACGTCCCCGGGGCGTCGGGGCAAAAATTCGCGCGCGACCTCATCTCCCCCCGAGTTACAGAACGCGCGCGACGTAGCTCTCTTTCTCTCTCTTTCCCTCTCATCGCCTCTCGGGACGCCGAGACGAAAGGGCGCGGCGTGACGCGGCTTGGTTCGGCCGTCGAGTACCTTGTTCCCGCTGTATACTCAAAGGTCGCCTACGTGCGCCACCGCGAACACACCACTGTCACGGACAAAGACCTTCGACGGGTCCGGCGACTCTCTCGGCCCGCGGATGTCATCCGCCGCCGTGGCGGCGCGCCGAGCCGAGTGGACACGAGCCTAATTTTAGGGAGCCGCGCGGCCGTCTACTCGAAGGGAGGAAGACGAAGAAGAAGAAGGCCGACGGTCACGACGGCCCGAGCGGAAAGAAGCGGACGTTTTTCTCGAGCGGACCGAGTGGAATAGAGAGCGAGGAGAGGGAGGGAAGAAGAGAGAGAGAGACAGAGGTAGAGGAGGAACTCACGCGCACGGTCGACGTCAGCATGATGTTTTCGCGACGGGACCGGCCGCGAGTGTTCTATATTAAACCCCGGGCGGACGCGGGCAGACCGATTGCGAAACGGACGCCCCGATATTTTCGTTACATTGCGCGAGTAACTGCTTCCGGCCGAGTGTTCTCTGTCTCTCGGTCGAGCCCCCTCTCGTCTCCCTTTCCCTCTCATCGTCGTTCTCTCTCTCTCACTCCTTCTTCCTACGCTGTTCGCCACCTCGTCGTTTCTGCGTCTCTCTCTCACTCTCTTTCTTTCTTTCCCCTCCTTCTTCTCTCTCTCTCTCTCTCTCTCCATCCCCTCTTGTATCGACTCTGTCTTCTTCTGGATCGACGGGCGCAGACGGCCGTGCTTCTTCAGCCGGCCGGAAACACCTACGCGTCCGCTGGTAGCGTGTGAGAGAGCGCTATAAGGTGGGACGGAGGCAATGGGATAAGCCTACTCACGAGAGATTGCTGTCGTCGACGACCTCCTTGCTTCTTGCTCTTGTTGCGTTTCTTCTTCCTCCCCCTCTCACTCTGCGCCGTTCGCTGCTCCGTCTTCTCTCCTCCTTCTCCTCCTTCTTCGTCGTCGTCGGCGTCTTCTCTCTCCTCTTCTTTCTCCTCTCCTCTTCTTCCTTCCTTCCCTCCCTCCCCGTCTAGCCTGTACGATGGAATTCATCCAAGTTTTTTGCGCCCGCGAATAAACACCAACGTACGATGGAAGACGCCCCGGCTCGAAAGCCGATCGGTTCTTCTCTCCTCTGGGAAGGGAGGCTCTTCCTTCCTTTTCCCTTTGATATTTATTTTCTATTCGCAGTTGGCGATAGAGGAGGGAGGGTGGAAATGACGATGATGTTTAATAGCGGAACGCATTGATCCGGAGCTTTTGCGCGGGGTCTAATCGGGACCTTATCGACGCGTGGTCTTCGACGTTTGTTTCTTGGCTTGATCTCTCTCTCTCTCTCTCTCTCTCTCTCTATATATATATATATATATATATATATATATATATATGTAGGTAGATAGATAGATAGATAGATAGATAGATAGATAGATAGATAGATAGATAGATATATATATACATATATATCCGTCTCGATACCGATCGATCGGCACTCATATACGCACACGCGATACGTGATTCTTCCGTGGAATCCTCAACGTAGGGGGAGAAAAATATCTCATCGACGCGCGACTCGCCTCTCTCTCGCACGCGTTCTTCTTCTCTTTGAATTCACGAAGAATGGCGCGCGGGGAATTTCTGGTACGTGAGGCGCGCGTGTAACAGGCGTGACCTTCTCAAGGTTAAGCCATGCGGGAGAACAATGGGACACGCAGCCCTTGACTCGACTAAATCTCGCTTAAGACGTTACCTCTTCGACAGCGGAATCTCGAGTTCGCAGGGAGACGAGTCGCTCGCTCAACTTTATGTTAATGCGCGTTAAAATTTTGGTGGCGATATTAAAATAGGAAGGAAAGAGAAAATGATAGGAAAGGAGGGAGGGAGGGGGGAGAGAGAGAGAGAACAGGACGACGCGACACTGAATGATGTCACGATGCATACTTTTTTTAAAGTGACTTCGTATGAAGTTAAACGATAAAAGTAATCTTTCTATGTCCGTGTGAACATTTAGATTCCACCGCGACGTGGATTCTTTATTTTAGTTCTTCTATAAATCTGTTCTTTTTAGCTGAACTAGATTGCACTTCTTGCCTTTAGAGTGAAACATATATATCTATAACCGAGCGTTGAAGGGGAAAAAGAATAAAGTTCCAGCACAACTAAAAAAAACTAGGTCTTATATTTTCGCAATTTGTCTAACCTATTTTGTTTTTTTTCCGGATAGTACGCGGCAGATATCACAGAAGACGCGTTGTCAACGACGGAAAATAAGGGATCCCAAGTAACAGAGTTACGTCATTTTAATTTCTTCCTCGACTTATTGTAAGATAAATACCTCGATATTTCTCTCTCTCTCTCTCTCTCTCTCTCTCTCTCTCTCTCTCTCTCTATTGATCTTTAATATTACATAGATCTTTGATCAATCTTCTTTGATCAATCAAATTACTATGGAACTTGATGCGATAGGATGTACCGACACAACATTTGTCGCCAGATTGAACCGTCAATGCTACCTTTAATGTTAATAACAGCCGGCGAATGCAACGATGCGACACGTATTTAACTCAGGTGCGTGACAAGTATCTGATACATTTCTGCTTACGTAAACAAAAGTTATCAGTTACATATGCATTGGATCGGGACTGTTATTATTCTTACTACCACTGCCAGTATTACTTCTATTACTGTTACCATCACTACTTCTACCACTGCTATTTCCATCAGTGTCGTTATTTCTACTAGTGCTCGGCCTACTCACAATCGAGAGGTCGGTCTGCACTGTATTTAGAGAGAGATCGTCTTGTACCCGCATCACATCCATCTGCGCAGAAACAACGATCAGACAGGTAAGACTCATCGGTTTTAGAGGCTAAGTGTTCCTTTTGATCAAAATTTATATCAGAATTTTTTAATGTCCGTAATATTCTTCTAAATCACCATTTCACCGGCTGTAAAACATTATCGGGAATTTGCCGTAATTTGCCGAGTAAGTTACCGTCAGATCGAGTCACTTTCGTCTCTAAATAAGAAACACAGTCATACGTACATTCTGATTTTGCCACGAACGATTCCGATATCTTTCCTTGAGCCGGATACCGAGTATTATTAAGAGTGTCAGCGCCACTATGAATCCCAGGGAGCCGAAGACGATGCCGAGGACGGTCGAAGTGTTACTGCCTGAATCGGTATTACATATGTATTCGAGAGTAAGGATCAAGCGTGATCTTCCTCGCGCTGATCTCTTCGTGACGTCACTCCACGAGACGTAACAAGAATTTCAGATGATGTAAAAAGTATCTTAACGTTCTCTCACCTGCATCCCGGACTAATTTATCATAAGAGACATGAATCATGTCGGACGTCGTCTCGGTGTCCTCGAACTCGATGGTCGCCGCGCACGTCCAGTTTCCCTTGTGCATCGAATTCGCAGGCTCGACTATTAGTCCGCAATGGCCGGCTGCGAGGCCATCCCCGTTGTACCAATAACGTACGTTGTCATACACGATGGGACTGTAAAATTACGATAAGTACGAAGAATAATGAGAAACGGTAGACATACGTACATTAGATGTTACATACGAACCGTTCAATCAATTAATTCCTCACTATTTGTAAATCTCCTTGCTTTGAAGAATCGAGCACTAATTATGTATGTTCTGGCATTAATGTTAAATGTAAACATGTATTATTTATTTAGTTATCAGAATTCCCTATGATTTCTCTAATCTCGTGTTACCTGCTTTCGTTGACTCGTTCGTCGACGGTTACACCGAATCCAGTCGGCGACTGAAACCTGCAGTATTTAAGTGCCATCGCGTACGGTACGGTTTTACATTGGAAGGTGATCCTATAGTCGTCATCGTACGACACGAACTTCTGCACCGCCGCCAGAGACGTTTCTGAGATTTTTGCGTGTAACATTCAATCTGCATTACTCCTTTATTCGCGAGCTCAATCGGCATGTTAAGCCCGTTCCACATAAGACGCATGTGTGGTATCCAATGAGCACACTGCTATTCCGGTAAAGCTGTACGCTCATTGGATATCACATCGCGTTGCGTTCTGCGCCTTATACAGAACGATTTGCGCTATCGTCACGCGAGTTCGCTCGATCGCGTCGAATTTATAGTCTGTTCTTTTCAGCTGAACTGGTTAGGCTAGTTCAAGAAATTTACGCAGGCTGAAACGCGACAATCTCGCTCTTGCACTTCAATGGTAAGTTCCTCGAACTGGTTAGTTGAGCTAAAAAGAACCACCAGATTGCGCAATGCGTATACCTGCTATCCGAACATGGATCTCCTCGGTGAGCTCCACGCCGGGCGAAGCGGGTCCCATGTGGCAAATCCACTTGCCGTTGTGCTCCTGCTCGGCCTTATCGATCGTGATCGCGCAGCGACCGAGCCAGGCGGTCTCTGACTGACTGAGCAGATTTCTGCAACAACATCGTCCCGTTGAACCTCCTCGCGATAGTTTTCAGCGACGCTTGATCCGGATCTTTTTTTATTATCGCATATCCACCTCGATATCGTGTTCGAGTTATTCGGGCTTTTGTAAATTTTCCCATCCGGCTTGGAGAACCAGCAGTAGATTAAAAGCTCGCTCGAGAAGCATTCCAGGCTAAGGAATTCCCCTTTGGTTGTAATGACAGGCGAGACGGAGGACGAGTTAGGTGAAATAACCACGTCTGTCGATGTAATGTTCCCGTTACTGCTGCTATTATACTCACTCAAGGCTTCTGGTTCCGTGCTAAAGTCGTCTTGTTCGTAGTACGTATGACGTGGTCGGAAATGAGAAAGCACAAGATTCTTGCAAAATGCAGATTGAAATAAAAGGATATGTTTTGACTGTCAAAGTAAAAGGAAAGCTTTCGGAATATTTGGCAAATGTGCTCAATCGATTGTCGAGTATCATTTTTTTACGGACACATCTTTTTATTTCAACGTATTTCGCAGGAATCTGGGGTGTATGTACGTTTTCTCACTTCCGATGTCATTAATCGAGACTGCTGTGGCAAGGAAACAAGAGCCTTAACGCGTTGACCGCCGAATACGAGTTATCTCGTAGCTAGCGAGTGCGGAGAGAATTTTCCGTTTCATACGCCAGTCACGAATTAATTTATACCGTTTTTCTTTTTCTTGCGTTTTGCCGCATTAGGATATTAAAATTAGCAAATTAATAATTGGCATCAGAAGCAAAGTTCATTCACGTCACAGCGGCGGTCAACGTTTTGATAGGATCTACCGCTTTACAATAAACGCTTCGTTGTATCGTTACGTTATCGTTCCGCCATTACCTCTTTTCACTTTATTGCTCGCGGGTGAACTCTGGTTCATAACTTTCAACACTGGTATGGCTGTTACGATAGGCGACTTATGCACGGTATTCCGCGGCCTGATCAGGCAGTACCAGGTGCCGTAATCTTTCTCCTGCGGAGATTGAATCGTCAGACCGCACTCTCCCGCGTCCAGTCCCTTGCCGTAATATTCGTATCGGCCTTTGCGCATACCTTCGCGCAATCTCAGCCCCATCTGTAAGGTAACATCGGTGATTCTCTCTCTTTTACTTGGATTCCCGCATGATCCACATGCGTTATCACACTCATGCTGAATTCACAGCGAATGATCCGTGCTATACCTTTTCGACCGAGGATTGCGTGAATCTGCACAAGCTCAAGTCAGTATTTATTGCTATGTAGTTGCAGTACAGATGTAAGGCTTCGGGATTGGGAGAGACGGTGTATCCGGACTCCACGTGTTCATCTGAAAGAGATAAGTCGCCGATAACGGTAAGGCTTAACGCGCCTGTTGTAGACCAGGACTAAGTAGCGACAACTCACAGAAAACGGTCAGCTTCATCGTCTTCACGACTTCATCGACCAGGCCCGGCACGCCGACTATGGCGCTCCAATTCCCGTGGTCCACCGCCGAGACCTTCGGTATCTCCACACTGCACTCGTTGTTCTCGATCATGGCGTAGCTGTCGTGAGGATTCTGTATCTGTTCCGGCGAATTTTCACTCGAGTCAGTGTACAAGAGAAAGTTCGTGAGAAGAAAGAGGGACGAGGCAACGTGAATGCGCAAATATTCGCAGAATTATTTCTCTTTGCAATCCAAAAAGCTGAGCTCTGGACGAGATTTTGGCAAAGTCGTCTCAGAATCCAGCCAGGAATGTGTCTTTTGAAGGACAAGCGGTTGTGTTCTGAATCATCTTACATATGTGCAGATATGTACGTACTATGCAATACTCATGGACACCGTTGAACGTGAACCTGTATGTTACCCCGTTAATTATCTCCGCTTCTTCCGGGCTTTCGACAAATGTATCTGAAACACAGAATTTGCGACACATCATTACATTACGTCGTCTCTCGATGAAGTTCGCTTTAACGGGGAAAATATTCGCGAAACAATTTTCCTTTTTCCGAAGCGTGGTTCCTCCGAGAGGGAACTAGTACCTAACACTCTGATCATAATCACGTCCACCACCCTCTCTTCTTTGTCGTTTTGCGACGTGAGCCGCCACCAACCCTCGTCCTGCTTCTGCACATTCGTGATGAAGAAGCCGCAGCCGCCGTTGAACGGCCAATAATGCACTCTCTCGTCGCAGCTGGTGTTCATTTCGTTGCCGGCGAGCTTGAGGTTGCAGTTGACGAGAAGCGAAGTTCTCAGGTAACACGTCGTCTCGTCCTTCAACACCTGCACGAGGTGCACCTGAACTTCCCCGCCTTCCTGAACCTCCACCTCCGTAGGCAAGATTCTCCGGATGAATGTACCTGACGTTTGAAATAATGCTGAGTTAAGAAGTGATCGGTGACCTCCAGTATGAAAGCGCGAACTCCAACCTGCGTCTGCGTCGCGAATAAATAACGAAGCGACACTTAGCACGATAAGGCACCTCAAGTGAATAGCGTGAGCCATTTTTGCACAATGTTGAGCGAGGATATCGTACAAGTTTTATATCGAAAGACGAACGTGGTTATCACACATCGATCGAGCCCGTACGATGATAATTAATAACGATAAGTCCGCCTAAATAAGCTAGACGACTTCTGAAGGCGTAGGAAGTACATTTTGTTACTTTATTATGAGTTATTCTTTTGTTAATAACATCTCTCTCTCTCTCTCTCTCGACCTGCGACAGTAGTAGCATATATTTTACGAATGCCTGGAAATTTGAATGCGCCGAAATAAAAAGAATAAAGATTGATATCGCAGAGTTTGCGGTGGACACCGACGGATGACGATTTATCTTTAGGTAGGTCTTTATTCAAAATTAAAACGCGTGAAGGAAAGACGTAAATAATCAAATGACAAGCATGAGATAAGACCGAGATTTCGGTCTCGACTTTGATATCGATCGACCCGAGATAAAAGCGACGTCTCACTTTCGGTGCATAACTATAGATCCTTCGAGTGTTTTTTATCACGTCCAAGGTATCGAGAATCAATGATCTGTACAGAGCGAGTTTCTCATCAGTGTTTCTTCGCGAGCGAACACGATATCACATATCACGCGCGAGTTTCAGTGGGAAAAGTCTTAGGTGATGGAGCTGTCCGTCGTGCTTTCACCGGGTTGCTCTGGTTTCCCTTCGGTCGCAGATGTATCCCGCGACTCCGCGGACGTGTCTTGAGAGTTGCTCGCGTCTTCGTTTAATTTAGCTTCTTCTTTTTCAGGTATTATCAACTTGTGATAATGGCTTCTATTTAGTGGCAAGTGGGGCGCTATTTCGCTCGGCTCCAAGAAGAGCGCCGGGGAGACCTTGCGGAATAATATTTTAAGTTTTCATTTGTTATGTATAGTATAGTCTGATGCGTTTGTGTGAGTGTGAAATAAAGAATTGCCTCTCATGAAAGATCGATACGTCACACACGTGTAACGCCAACAACGAGAATGTTAAAAACCCAAATGTTTGAGACAAGATTATAACAAGGTCATCCATAGCGCTACTGTATTACTTACTCGGATATCTTGAACCTTGGCTTCTCGCGACGTGAACTCGCGTAACAAGTAATTCTTGCCGAGTTCGTGGTAAATGCGAGTATCGTTTATCCTTAGCATTACATTGTCGATTCTCAAGAAGTATCGCAATAGTATGAAGAAGCTACTGGGCATGACTCTCTGCGCGGGAGAAGAATCGAGAGGATTACGATCTCGTTGTATGCACACGTTGTCGAAAAATGTATGGTACGAAGTAACTTACAATTTTCACTGAATTCACTGCGATACCGTTGTCGTGAAGTTCGTCTTCAAACAATGTTAAATCATTATAGAACAGGATCTTGTCTCTCTGCCTCAGTTTATCCATATCGATCCTCTCGTTGGTCTCCTCAACCTCAAAGCCGGATACTGTACCGGTGTAGTCAGTAGTGAACGTCCAATCGAAGGGTTTCACCTTTTCTTCCAAATATTCACTGCTGTCTGATCTGCCAATGTATTCGAGTAAGAAATATAATATTAGAATTGGAACAGCTGGCAAGATTGAAAGGAACACGGCGCTAAGTTATACCTAGATTCTTTCCATGCCTCTGCACACGCCAGTTGTACGTTGATCTTCCCATTGGACACATGCCTCAGAGCATCCAGAGCATTGAATTGCAGCAATGCTCCGTTCTGATGAGTCAGTGTCAATACGTTATTGGGGAACACCATGTCAGGCATGTGCGGCAGCTCTAAGGTATTATTATATCTGAAAGATAAATATAAATATAAATACAAATAATATGGCTCTCGAGATATTCAATCAATAAACAAATTAAGGACATATAAGAGTTGATCTCACTAATGGAAGTGCGAACAGTTTGATGTAGCAATCAGAAATACATGTATCGCGAACATTTTGGTCACAAGTTTGGGTCATCTTTAACACCAAATGCAAGAATGATGAATAAATGTATAACTGAAATTTCATTGTTCACTCGTCAATGATCTTTATGAGATTCAATATTGCCAGATAGACATAATTATATCAATCAATCATCAATGGAAGATAAATAATACATAAGATAGTGATAGAGAAATTAGCCCTTAATTCCTCTACTAATAGACAAGTATATTTCTCAATACGTTCATGTTATTACACATACACGCAAAACTGACAGGCCTCACTGTCCTTGCTGCAGCCATTCTCACTCTTGGAGCATTTGGAATGCAGTATGTGAGATTGCGTATATTTGATACGCCAAGGTAGGCAAATATGCACTTCTTCATTTACTGGCAGCCTCAAGATGTCGATTCCACCATGTACCTTTATAGCTGTCATGATCTAAAATTAAGAAGCGGCCTTTCATTATGTTGCAAGCAAAGTTGATATATTTGCTACAAACATTATATGTGACATCAACCTCGCGCAAGAAAGAGCAATGTCACACTTATGTGACAGTTATAGTTCTACTTTCTACGAATATATAAGTCAACCAAGTTCGTTTTACAAAATTAAATTAAAAAGTACAGTCATATGGAAGGTTCCTCAAATGAATCGATAGTAGTAGCGAATGCGTTAATATTGCAGGTAATACAGGTGATAAAGGTTAGGTTAAGTGTATGATCGCTCGAAGGATACGATTCAATCATATATTTGTAATTGTCATATTTACATCTTCGACACGTCCCTGCAATGACAGGACGAGAAGCCAAAACAATTAGACGCACTTGGAATTAAAATCAAATTAATTACGAGTACAGAACACCGTCGAGTATTCCTCTTTCGCTCACCGTATCATAAGAGATGACTCACTTCCCACGATAGGTTGAAATTCTCAGGAAACACTCGTGGTGATCCGCATCGACGTCTATTTTCGTTTCGATAACCGATAACTACGACAATTTACATATTATCCATGTTACGAAATGTTCGCTCGCACACCCTCGCTTAGCTTCCTTCCTCCGCGAATCTAATTTACCGGCTGAGTGCGAGCGCCTTGTGCAAATTCCGATCATTTGGCGCGCCTGTATCGGTGCGCATTTGAACGTATTTGAACCAGGATTGCTTGTATTCGAATCGATATTTTCGCACGACCATTTGATATGCGATATTTCCATTGATACTTCGAGCCTCAGTATTGTAGCGTGTCGGTCAAAGACAAAGCCCCGTATTCTAAATTCTCTTTTATTGATAAGAGTTTACCTTAAACATGGCTTCTCAGACGATCAGGTGGTTCCTAAACTTTTAGGTTTTCCGGTTTTTCATTTTCTATTTAACTCGTGATTTAAACTTAAACCGATGATAACGCAAAAATTGTGTTTTTCTATTCATGGTTAATCGGCGGTAATTTTTAAAATTTAGTAATCAGAAAAATGAATACCATGAATGGAAGAACTGATTTTACGTTATCATTAGGTTGAGCCTAAACCATAAGTTAACCAAGAAATTAAAGATCAGGCCTTAGAGGTGATCTTTTATCGATAAAAGTGAGTTCAGAATATGAACCCGAGACATCAATTGATTCGAACCAAAGCACAATTCGGCTGTGTTCCGTTGTTGGGTGGTTTCCATAAATGTATTCTTATTTCAAAACGGTCTCGAGAATCGTTTTCAGACATTAATGTGACTCTTTTATTGATCAAGGGTTATCTAAGTGCACACGACCGTACGGACGTATTTCGACTCGTATCGATACAAAATATCGATACTTTATTCTCCTTCGCACATTAGAAATTACGACAATCGAGGTTTCTCTCTCTCTCTCTCTCTCTTTCTCTTGCACGGTCTTCTTTGCGGCGTCGCTCTTCCTTTTCATTTCTTTACTTTTCGTTCAATTGACGAAAGCGCGCATCGATATTATTACACGCTCCGATCGTCCGTGCAATCCTCGCGACACCGTGTGCAGTTGGAGAAATGCAGAACGAAAACAAAAGTGCCGGAGGGCGATTGCCGGAGCGGAGATGCGCTGCCGATCAGTCTTCCCCGAGTGGCCGGCGCGTCTACGTCGCGAATGAGCCATGACGAGCGGCAACAAGTGCACCGCGTCCGTCGCCGATCCGCACGAGCTCGGTTGCGCGGATTGCGGCGTCCCGGCCGACAGCAAGGATGCGAAACGCCTCGTCAAGGAGCGGACAGTGCGGAGGTTCAAGTCGATCGCCGGACATATGGGTCTGCTGATCACACTGATGCTCTACACCGTGATCGGCGGACTGGTGAGAGCGATGAAGGGAGGCACGTTCGGGGTTTCCCCGAGTTCGAAAATATGAAAGAGCGGAAAAGAGAGAAGACGATCAGTGGGAACGCCGTCCTGTGAGAGAAAATCGAAGTTTTTTCTTATTTATTTACTTATTCACTTAAGCCCGTATTCTGAGCTCTCTTTTATCGATAAAGGTGCCTCTAAAGGAGATTCAGGGACCACCTGATTGGCTGAGAAGACACATTTAAGGCACTTTTTATTAATGAAAGAAAGTTTAGAATACGAGCCTTAGTTATTCACAGGAAATACTTTTTCAAGTAGAAGGGAAGAAGAGTGCAATTTCTGAACGAAGGAGAAGTGCCTTCGAAATCGGGAATTGCGACTTATGAGCCAATGAACATCCACTAATAATAACATAACATCAATATTATAATTATAATTCCCCATTCAGCAATGTAAATACAATAATACGCATGTATTATGTAACAGTTGAGCGGGAAATTATAACATTGATGTAATGCTGTTATTAGTTGTTCTCACTGAGGAGATTTTCGAATGCCTCCTCTGCGAAAAATCGACGATCGAGTGCGTTTCGTTTTCCCTCCGTTTCGCGATCCCCTTTCACTTACGTCTAATTGATCGCGATGATAATTGGGTTCCGTTTTAATTTTGAGCGAGCTATAATCCCGCCGGATTATATAAGAACGCACGTTCGAACGTTTGAAAGGAAGGAGAGGAAGGAAAAACGGAAGGGACAAAGAGCGAAGCGAGCCGACGAGATCTCCGTGGCGCGCTCGAATTTTCACTCGGGGAAACGTCGAGCTTTCCAGTGTGGAGAGTTAAATGTATTCGATGTTCCATAAATATTTACATTCTATACAATAACCGACGGACTTGTGTAGCCCAACCGAATCGTACCTTTATTTTTAGCGACGGCCCAATCGGCCCGGCCGTTTGCTAGCAAGTGTATTACCAACTGGTCGCCTTTCAATGAACAGTCTGTTAAAAATACCGTGTGTTGAAATTCACGATGGTTATGGTTTTTTGAGCGCGCACACACACACACACACACATATAAATGCCACAATATCGCAAAAATAGCCCTAGGCGTTTCGAGCGTAGTCTTCCTCCCTCTCCTTCTTTTTCTCTCTCATCGTCCACGATTCATTCCACGTCAACGAGTTCCTTATGTGAGAAAACAATTCGCATTCGAAAAGCGATAAGAAGCAAATCCCTCCTCAATAAATCGAATTGCGATCGAAATTAAATAAAATTCGTAATAAAATAAGAAAATGTTACAAACGATTTACAAAACGATCGACGAATTCTATAGCGACGATCGCCCGTGAAAAACATCGGCCGATCTGGTGGACAATGAAGCGCGGCTCGATAAGCGAAAAAGCCGATGATCATCGCGGCCGTTGATGATGAACCGCCAGACAGTTTATTAATAACCGGCCGCCGATAAACAGCATCAACGACCTTTGCAAATAGCACGGCGGGATATGCATTTGCTCGGCAAACACGCGCACAACTGGCGGCTATTCTTCATTAGCCTGAAGTGCGCGCAGCACTCGAGGCTCGAGGACGAAGCGTTTCGCATGCTTTTAATCTCTGAGATATCCATCCGACAATTTCGACCGTTCACGCGTCATCGATGCAATAATCGTCGTCGTCGTCGTGAGAGAAGACGTCGTCGACGATGCGTGTTCCGATTCGTATCGATCTTCTTCGACGATCTCCGAGACGAATTCGTGACGTGAGACGGCAATAACTGCTTCCCAGACACAAGTCGACACAGGTAGAACAGAAAATGATGATATCAAAATGACGAGCAAACGATCGAAAAATGAGTTTTTTTGTAGTCCTCTTCTCTTCATTTTGACTTCATCTCGACATTCCCGTGATTTTTTATTCCACCTGGGATCGTTCCGTCTTTGTTCCATACTCGACGAGCAATAAAGGCAGGATAACGTTTGCGTCGATTTGTGTTACCAAATGAGAATTTTTCCGAAGATAAAGAAAGAGAGAAAGAGCGAGAGTTTTCCAAATGAGGGAGAAAGTATTCACAGCAGAAATGTCCAAAATACATCATAAGGATATTCTAAAGATATCGCGATATCTTTAGGTCAGCTAGTCGAAATCGAATGATTTGACGAGCAATTCAACCTGAGCGATTCGCCTAAGCGGATTAATCTTTAAGCGTATTCTCTTAAAGGTTTTCCGACACATCGAACTTCCGGCGGAGCTCGGACGGCTGGAGCGTTTGCGTGCGAAATTACGCATGCAGCGATACCGCTTCGTGGAATCCGTCTACAACAATACGGACGTCTCCAATCTGCGCACTTTGGTGAGCGATCTTCGCTTTCTTCGTATATCTTCACAGTGATATGAACGACGGCGAAACGTTTCCTCCAGGTTAGCGTGAACCTGCGCGACTATGAGGAAGCGGTGCAGGAGGCGGCGGAAGCCGGTCTCCTGGTCGGCTTCGTGGCGGATACGATTGAACATCAGGATCGCGCCGATTCGGAACTGCCGCCCGTCGCCACCGAACGGTGGAGTGTGCTTCAAGCTGTCTTCTTCGCCAGCACTGTCCTCACCACGATCGGTAAGTTTCTTCATTAGAAAATTATAAAATTCGCTGTGTCCTTTGAAAAAATAAACTCCACCGATAGTCTATCGCCGTATTACTAGAAAACGTGATAAAATTGAGAAGAATTTCGAGCACGAGAAGAACTTTCTCTCCCAAAGTTAATTACTTGTTGTAAAGTTATACTTGAGCTGGAAATGGAAGGCACTCACTCAATTCACTCCCGCCGACAGGATACGGCAACGTCGTGCCTTCGACCAACTGGGGCAGGATCTTCTGCATCCTCTTCGCCTTTATCGGCATACCGCTCACCCTGATCGTGATCGCCGACATGGGCAAATTGTTCGCCGGGGCGGTAGAGCATGTCGCGTTGACGTTAAAGTCGAGACTTCCGTTTCGGGCGAAGAAGCTCGCATGCGTCCCATCGAGCGCGACCAGCCGTCGGTCGCTCGGTGAGTTTAATTCGGGTAGGCCAGAAAATCACGACGACATCGAAATGACGAGGAAATGATCGTGGTAACTCATTTCCCGATCATTTTCTCGCCATTTTCACGTTATCGTGATTTTCCGTTTTACCTGGTCCAGGTGGAACAAAAGAAAGTGATCGAATTGAGATCGAAAGATAAGTTATTAGAGCCGTTATTTCATCATTCTGACGCCATCGTGATTCTTCGTTCCACCTGAGGAGGAGGGGGGAGGGTGTTAGAGAGTCTGCTCAGCCCTTCACGCTCGATTGTCCGAATGGTGGTTTCTTTGCAGGCGCTTGTGCCGCTATCGGGTTGCTTTTCTTGTACCTCGCCTGTGGCGCTGGTATGTTCATGCTGTGGGAGGACGACTGGGACTTCTTCGACGGCTTCTACTTCTGCTTCGTGACGATGACGACCATAGGCTTCGGCGACCTGGTGCCGAGTAAGTAATGATCTCTCGCCTCTCTCAAGGGGAACGGACAGGTTTAGTCGTACGCTAATCTTTGTCGACTTCGTTCAGAGAAACCTAAGTACACTTTATTGTGTACATTGTACATCCTGGTCGGCTTGGCGCTGACCAGCACCATCATCGAGCTGGTCAGACGACAATACGCCCAGTCCTGGAGGAGACTGCAGAGACTGAGCGGTCCATTGACCGAGACCCTCAGGAAACTCGGCGAGCAAGCTGGCGGCGATATGTCCGCGTTACATTCTGATTTAAGGTATGTTTTCACATAAACGTTGTTAACGCAGAAAATGACGATGACGTGAAGATTACGGCAAAATGATGAGAAAAAATGAACGAGCTTCACAGGCATCATCTGTTAGATAACGGCTGTTGATGCGAATAACTCGATTTTAGAAAGCGGCACAGCTTCGGAAAGAGGATTAATACATGTTCTTTTTAAAACGTTCTTTTACATCCCAGACGACTAAACCTAAAACCAGGACAGCATAAAACGTCTTGAAAGTCGGCTGTAAGTAAGACGTCTTTAAGATATTTTTAAGACATCTCAAAGACGATTTACGCCCCGGTTTTAAGTTGTACGCTGTCGGGGATGCTTTTAAGATATTTTTCGGAGGTTTGCGCTGTCCGGGTAATAATGTGAGGAAAATTCTCTTTCCCTTCTTCAGGAAGGTATTGACAGTTATATCTATGCCGCGTTTGAGGTGGACCTCGTCCATCGATCAGGTCTCGAAGGACCGGGATTGGGAAGAAGCCGTGGAAGCGGTACTGCGTGACATCGCCGCGTCTGCGACCGCACCACCGCCCAAGAAGCCGATAGTGCAAATCGTCATTTACGAATCCAGCGTTTAGTACTCGGGAGAAAGAGAGAAGGAGAGTATGTATGCGTTTAAGCATGCGTGTGATTGAATGAAAGGCTTTGGGACTAATAAAAAGTCACTTTAGTCGAGACCCGAACCTCTTTCAATTGAAATCCGAAGCGCATTTAGCCGAGACTCAAACCTTCCTTCCATCTGACGGGTCTGTCAAAACCCCGCTGAGTCTGCGTTCGGAGAGTATTATCCTGAATGCAGCCTTAACGGTGCCTTCGGCAATTCCTTATGCAGGATTCACACTGTACCCGACATACAATGATTTCACGCCCAATAGGAGAGCATGTTTTCTAAGGTTCTTAGCTAGCAATATTTATAATTAATTAGGAATATCTGTAATTTCATCGGTCAACACCTGGAGGATTTACTCACTTTTGTCATTCTCGCTTTATCTTCAGAACCGCAGATATTACACTATATTAAATAACATCCCAGACACAGCACGTACTTCTAAAAGACGTTTAGAAGACGTTCTGAAGGACACCTAACAAGCAGGACGTTACCCAGGCGGACAGAACGGGAAATCACGATGACGTCCAAAAGATGTCAAGACTGCAAGGAAATAAGTATGAAAAAAGAGAAAAAAAAACTCACTTTCCGATTATTTTCTCATCATTCCCACGTTAATCATCGTCCCTTCCCGTTCTACCTGGATCCTCTCGAGACGTCCCGGAGACGTCACTTTCGAAGGTCTCCCGGGGGTCTCTAGCGCCGCGAGTACACTTCGTATCTCGCGCGCGCAGCCGCCGCGCACGAACATGACGTGCGGTCGATGGGAGAGAGCATGCACCGAGGAGGCGCACAGACCGGCGACCTGTGTCGGTCAGCCCCGGGAGCGAGCGAGAGCCAGGGAAGTGGCGAAGGGTAAAAGGGCACACAGTGCGCGTGGACACGGGCTAAATTTAGGAGCGGGCAACGCGGGAACTTCTCTCTCTCTCTCTCTCTCTCGGCCAGAGTCGTTCTTCGTAGTCGCCGGTCCTCCGTGTGCGGCAGGAGCGATGACGGCCCCCGAGACGTCGCGCGACATTAGCGAGAGAACGTCGGGTATCGTGAGCATCGCATATCATGTGCGTATTACGACCAACGACGGCGGGGGAGGGGGGTCTCTCGGCTTGTGCGCGGCGTCGCGCTCGTACGTCAATTTCGGCCGAAACGTCACCGAGTCGTCGGTGAGCCGTCGAGCGGTCTCGTCGAGCGGCCAGTCGTGCCAGTTCCCTCGCTCCAAGACTCGTCCAGACAATCTCGCCGAATTCGCGCGGCCGACACGCACGAGGGAAGAAGACCGTGCGGTAAAAAGGCGTGCTTTTTATAATTATACGCACGATTAGACCGGTCGATTTTCCCTCGAGCGTGTTGCGCGTTGTACGCGACGTGCAGGTTGTGTGGCCGGGCGTTCGTAGCGTATCCGATCGCCTGCTGCTGTACCGGCTGCATCTCGCTGCACTCTGGGAGCTGATAGCACACGGGCGGTTTGAATAAGAGAGCATTCAGGCATTTTGAACGATTAAATATCTAATAATGACATTGCCACGCTATTAAGCAGTTGGTATGTTAATTATTTCCTTGTCAAAGTGTTGCGTCATGCTATTGTGTTTCGATACCTTATGTGTACAGCGACCTTTATCCCGGGTAGAGTAGAAAATGATATTGGAATGACGCCAGAGCGGGGAGAGGATGATGGAAAGGTGAGTTTTTATAGCCATTCTCCCGGCACCATTTCGACGTCATCGTGATTTTCCGTTCTACCTGGGGATGCGCTTAATCCAGGTGGAACGGACACCAAACTAAAACAGAAAAAGTGCGAAATAGCGTTGAAATGACGAAAGAATGACTGTAATAACTCACTTTTCGAATTTTTTTATCAATATGAAGTTACCGTCATTTCCTCTTCTACCTGAGAACCGCGGGTGTAGAAGCGGGTGATCGAATTCCCTGTCAGACTTGGCGACGCCGCCGACTCTACGCCCACCTCATCCCCGCCGCGAATTGCCTTCCCACGACACTGCACTTCGATCACCACTAACTAAAGATCTGAACTGTATATTCGGGCACTAAATATACACACACACACACAGGCAATTACAATCTCACGAATAGAAATACGCGACGCGTCGTCCGCGACGTGAGGAGGAATCTTTCACGCGCGCGCGCGGCTAGCCGGCTTCGAAAATCGAGAGTCGCCAGTTATACCGGTCTCGATTATCGGTCTTTGACTCTTTAAGCGCCACGCTCGCTTGTTCGAGTCTAACGTAGGCGATCCTTCAAGAAAATCTGACGCTTGAAGAATTGATGTAACCCCCTCTCTCCCTCTCCGTTTAGTTTGGGTCTGTTCTATCCGCATTAAATGCATTCCCAAGTAGAACGGAAAATCGCGATAACGTCGAAAATAGCGCCGGGATGAGGGAAAAATAGTTATAAAAATTCATCTTTCCGTCATCCTCTCGTCACTCTGACGTCACTCCAATGTCATTTTCTATTCTACTGAGGATAAAGGCCGCTGTATACACGAGATATCCAATTCTGTCGAATATTCCCGCAAACATTTGAGCGAAAGTCGTGCTCGCCGTTGCGCAAACCTGCTCTCACACACCTGTCGTCCCGATTGTTCTTTCTCGCAGCAATTGAGCGTGATGCGCGGCACACGCGAGCCTACCGTGCCGGTGAGGGACGCGGTGGCCGACGCGCACGGCGACATGGTGTGCACGCGACGTTTACTGGACCTACCGTTGTTCGCCGCGCTGACAGCGGCCCTCCGTAACGCTTATGCGATCACAAAGGGCTCGCACGAGGCGGTCGCGACGATATTCGGCCACGCTGAAGACGGCGTGCGCGCCAGCTTGCAGTTCACCAGTCCCGTCACCAACCGCGTCGCTGACGCTCTCGAGACGCCGCTCAAAGCCGTGGACGACGCTGTCTGCGTCGGCTTGGACTACGTCGAGGAGAAAGTGCCCTCCGTGAAGTTGCCGCCCGGTCAGATCTACGTGAACATGAGGGACTGCGTAAGGTGATGGTCTTCTCCCTTTCTTGTTCTTCTTCTTCTTCTGGATATGCTTAATGGACGCCTAAGTCTGCGAATGTCAAAACGATGTTAGGATGAAAATGACTATAAAATTTATTTTTCGATTATTTTTTTTTTTTTTTCGTCATTCTGACGTCATTTTCACGTGATTTTCATTTTCTGTTTTACCTGGATTACCATCCGGACATCCACTCAAGTTCAGTTGATCATAGTTCTATTAGGAATATTTATAATCAGATCTTACATTTGCGATGACCTTCTCCGTCGGTGAATTCGTGGGAAGTGAAGCTCTTCGAAAAGATCGAGTCTAAATCTTTTCTCCTCCAGGAGTGGAAAAATAAAACCGTTTCGACTCGAAAGCATTTGAAATTTGATACTTTTATTCCAGATATCTTTCAGATCGTCTTATGACCTGATTTTAGACGTTATTGGTTGGGACCTCTCGCGGAGTTCACGTTCGAGGAAAAAATTCGAGATCAATCGATTTGATTGGTACCGCTGACGACGATGCTACGTCTTTGACGATCGTTGTTAATTATTTGTATGTGTGTATTTTTGCATCGCAGGAATATTTTCACGTCAGCACTGGAGACCCTCAGGCTTCTGTTCGGCGGGCCGAAAAACCAAATAGAGAGCTCCCCGGTCGCGAGCGGGAACGCAGAGGAGAAGAGCCGAAGGATGTCCAGTTGAATGGTTCGAGTGTGAGGAATAAATTTGTACCTAGTTTTAGGAAGTTTCGTTTGAGAAATATACATATATATTGCGACATCGTCCACAACGTCTCGACGACGGATTCCGTGCGACGGGCATTAAGTAGCAAGGAGAATAGGCGTCGAGAGAGAAAGAGAGGGGGAATGTTAGAGGGAGAGAGCATCGTGTTGTAAAAAGTACATACGACACGTAACCTTCGGTGCAATTGTCTCCGCAACTATCGATAGGTCTGTTCGTTTTCGCTGCACTGCTGAACTAGTGCAATGTGTTGAAGCGAGACAAGTATATGTTTTCACATTTCACTTTATTGCACTAGTTCAGCGGTGCAGCGAAAACGAACAGACCTAATAACTTGCTAACGATAATTTGTTACGCATAGACGTTACACGTAAAACACACCCACACCTTAGTCGCGAGTTTAACGGCAAACAAAAACGAGCTGTCTGACCGACTCCGGCGGTTTAATGACGAGATATATATCTTTGTACGTTGACGACTGTTTTGCCTTGTTCTTATAAATAAATCCTGCGTTTCTGTTTTCGATATCGCACCTGCTACGTATCCACAAGAATAGTGTGCAAATGACGTTTATGCGACAACCTAAAATCGGCTCAATAATACGCGTAATCTACTTCCGTATGTGCGGACAGCATAAAATCAATATAAAGATCTCCGCTGTCGTGACTGACGATTCACGTAACAGAAGCTACTAATAGAAGCTTCTAAAAGAAGTTTGAAAAATAAGACGTATCTTTCAGATACCTTTCAGACGTCTTACTGCTACACTGGTATGTCCTTTCAGTCATACTTGAAATTGCCCGCTTATTTTCAATAATCTATTTAAAACTTTTATATTATACTCGATTCCCGGGAAGAAAAGATCATATGTAAAATTCACCCATATATATGTATAATCATATATGTTCACAACGAAAAAAAAATTATTGTATACAAATTATATATACGAATACAATCGAAGTAAATGCTACTGGCTACTTTTGCTTCCGGCAGCACGTAATATCGACATTCAATTAAATAACATTACGACATAACATCATTTTTTCTCGTGTAGACACATATGATCGTACATGTGATCACATATATGGGTAAAATTCACGTATAATTTTATATAATTGCATACAATCATATATAATCATATTCTCCCGGTCGTGTACACCAGTTCTAACACTTCGTTTTCCTATCTCTCTCGTTGTCTCCGTTAGACCAGCAGCATATTGTTTGTTTCTCGCCCTGGATTGCTCGCCGAATGGAAATACTGCGTTCTGATTGGCGCATTTTGAGAATGGAAATGAAAATACACGGTAACGCGGTATTTCTATCCGGCAAGTAATCAGGCACGAAAAGCAAGCAAGCCTCTGTGTGTCGCCGATTTTAATTGGTCGATGTCGAAACTCGAGCACGCCTCGCTGTACACCGCCAGTCGGCAGAATGGGGGGTAGTAAAACGCTTTTCATCGCTGCGCTTTGAGTCGCAGCTTTATAGATTTTCGGTACCTGTTGGTATCGGAACGCAATCCTCGAAGTCCTCGCGAACACGTCGCCATTATCTCCTCTTCCCTTCTGCCGGTTCAAATTTAATTGAACATCGCTGTCCGAGCGATGTATCGACGAGAGAGGGTATCGACGCGCCATATTCGATATATCGCAATGGCTCCGCCATTTTGTCGGTCTGCCGGATTACCGCCAATTTATCAAGTAACACGGCGTCAGTTCGGTAGTGGTGAGCAACTGTGACTTGTATATCAACGCGGTGTCCACGATCGGCCGTGGGAGGTTCTCGCGGAGCAACGCGTGCGAGTCTCTGGTCCTCCCGTCGCGCTCCTGGAGCGTCTGTCGCGCGTCTGTTACGTCATTGCGCGTCGCTATGTCCCGGTGCTGCTGTTTCCTGTGCGCGAGCGACGAGGGTGTCTTCCTGGAAATCACGCCGGACAGCGTGCGTGCGGCATTCGGCGGTCAGCTCGAGGCCTGTTTGTCGAAGAAGGTAAAAACGATCATGCGTTAGTGACGCATCGCGGGACGTGAAACGGTGCCGCGTTGTTGCAGGTAACCTAACCTGCGTCACGCGCGCCCGTCTCACCCGCATTTCCCGCTTGGTCGTGATAGGTAAATGCGCGTATACGCAAGTTTGGGGGAAACCAGGACGGTCCTGTGATTCCGTTCCTCGACGTGCCATCCGTGCTCCTCTCTTTTTTTTTTGTCGCAACGCGCTGAAAGTTCCACCAGGAGGACGGACCTGTTGGTGTCGCGTGTAGGTTAGGTTGGTCACGTTCCGGTTACGCTTCCTCGCCCGTCGAGGTCTGAACCAGCCAACGGGGACATCACCCGGTTGTATCATCGTACCTCGTCCCGTGTCTGGAACAAGATGCAAATCGCGCGATAATATGCATCGTGCTGCGATAGCACGCACACAAAGCTGTATTTACCGAGTGTGTTATTTGATCCGTCTTGGAGCATAATCACACGGCGTCACGTATGCACACAACACCATCCCCTAGATCGAAAGTCGCTTGGTTCTCTCCAGTACTCTTGCGTGCGTAAAGTCGAGACCGTTTATAATTAGAGCCGCGTTATAACTCTCCACCGTTGTGATCGGAGCTGCTCGTGCGATTTTCGATTTTACAGGTTACGTACGTAAATCCTGACCTTCGGTAAATACCTGAAGCCTTGTGCCGTGAGAAATCGATCAATTACGAGCGAATTATAGGAGAGCAATCAATCGTGATTGGTCAATTTCTTAAAGTTGAAAGCATACTATTGTAGGCCCAATTTTAAACGGAGGAAAGGATGGCAATGTAATTTTAAATAATCTAGGGAATATTGCACCGTACATGACGCCAATCGTACCTGCGCGTATGTAAGATAGACACGAGATATCGTCATCGGGCATCGGTAAACGAACAGAAAAGGAGAACGCTATTCTACTCCCGATGAACGATTTCGATCGGGCTTCTCAGCGGAATCTCGCTCGTGAGGATTGCCGCCGGTTTCCCATGCGTGACAACGAGTGAGTCGAATGCAACTTTCCTCTCCGCGCGTATCTTACGTACCGTGCACGAAGAATGGTCGTTGTATCTTAACGAGGTTATCTTTATCGAGATCGCCGGAACGAAGTGCGTCGCATAGTCGACCGCGCTTAATCGAACATCTTCCCGATTTCCCTCCATTTTCCCACCATCTTGCAATTGTTCGAAATAAACACAGGTCCGACATCCGCATTTTCGTCCTCAATGAGATTCGATAATTGAGATAATTCAATTTTATCGCTTAACTTTGTGCAGCAACATTTTGGAGGTTATCGTTTGGTTCTTTCTTTACTCTCAGGTCAACAAAACCATTAAGTTGTCCAACAAGATATGCTATAAGTGTGCATACGAGTTAGATCAGTGCGCTAAGTTTCTGCAGAAGAGCAAGAAATCGTACGATGTTGCGAAATCGCCAAAGGCCAAGGCACCAGTGCCCCATTGCTCTTTGTGCTGCGAGTCCATAGAAAGTGTTCACATTTTCGACATCACCGAGGACAACCGTTCGGTATTCAGCCCTTTACAGAAGATTCGTCGCATTTTTAGCGAAGATGTAAGTTGCGATCTTCCCCTCTCTCTCACAATAAACTGTTCTTTATAGCTGTGTTCTCTGAACAATCTTGCCTCTCTGTTTCCTTTTCTTTTCCACCAATTGCACATATACCTGTTGTATCAATGATAATAATAACAATTGTGTACTTGCTTCATCTCTCAAGTACAGACAGTGCAATTTAATGCAGATTATAAAGAACCTAACTTTATTTGCTTTATCTCAAGTTAACATGTTTATGGTTCGCATTACAATCGTTTTCTTATTTTTTATCTAGCTCGCCAAGAAGGTCAATATTTCAAAACTAGTGTGTCTCGTGTGTCGATATAACTTGGATGTTTTGTACGATCTGAAAAAGCTACACGAACAGAGTGTCGACAATCTAGAGGCTTTACTAAAAAAGGAATTAGATTATTCAGGTTTTCCCAAGGTAAGAACACATGCGCACTCATTTTGTGCTTTTCGTTACTTCTCTGTCTTATCGATTGCACACAGGGAAGAAGGTTTTAGATTTCTATTTATTTGACTAAAATTTGTCTCATAGAAACAACATGTTAACACAATATTTGTTTGAGTAGAAATTGTATTGCCTCATACAAAATATTTGTTTGGATAAAAATTGTATTGCCTCATTCAAAAAAACTCTATTATTTGACAGAAAGAACGCTATTGTTTGAACTAATATCTTTTAACCAAGTAAAATCGTATTTGGTTACAATAAACATGCAAAATGAAACAAATAATTCCTTTATAAGAAAATTATCTTTCGTTTCAAGCAAATTTTTTATTTAAGACAAAAATACACGTTGAAAAGTCTAACAATCGTGCTTGTTGATCGAAACATTAGTTTCTTTGGAGCACCGATGAAATTTGTTCGGGTGCGATAAAATTGATTAAATTTGAAGAAATCGTTTGTTTAGTGTGCTGAATGGCACTTCATTTACATATTATAAACATATGCTTCTCGAATCGCAGGTATATACAGATGTCGTGAATCGCAAAACGACTATTACCACATTTCCGGATACGACGGTACATGAACTAATAAGCTCTGACAGCGAGTGCAGCGAGTACAGCGATATGGCGCGTGGGAAGAAACGTGGCAGGCCGCGTGGTAGACCGCGTGGTAGGGCACGCAGCAAGGCCGCGCCTTTGAAAAACGGTGCTTCAACCGCGAAGTCGCAAGGGAAGTACCGCAATTGCGAACAGTGTTGCAACCCTGTCGCGAACGACATGGATATGTACAGAGTTCACAGCACAGGCCAGATCCTGTGCAAAAGTTGTTGGACAACGAGGGACCCGAGCAAGAGCACGGGGAAAAGACAGACGTTCAGCCTGTCGGGGACAAAATTGTGCACGGTTTATCTAACGGACGTGCTGGACAAGGGAATTCGTGACAGCGAAAACAAAGTTGAGAAGAACAAGGAAGATGACAAATTTTACTTGATATCGGACGAGAGCTCATTCGAAGAGGATAAGAATGTGGTGTCGCTGAAGAATAAACCGACGGTTAACGGTAGCACAGAACGAGGTAAGAAACGGAGTATCGTCTCTACCAAGAGCGATGAGGAGAGCATGCCGTCGAAATTAAGCAAGCCAAAATCCGTAACCGTGCAGAAGGTCGAGTCGGCGAAGGCGTTGTCCGATTTGGATCAGCCGTCTACTAGTTTCCAGAAAGGACGAAGTCGCAAGAGGAAAGTTAGCGGACATGAAGAGCTAAGCTCAGAATCCGATCAGGGAATCGTGAAAGGTATGATGTTATTGCGCGGCAGAAGACAAGTTAATCATTTGCCGACTCTGTTGTCAACCTCAGAAGAAGATGATGCGAATAAGGCACTCAAGAAACAGAAAAAAGGAGACAAGGAGACAATTAAGGAGGCAACCAAGGAGACAACCAAGGAGGCAACCGATGAAACAACAATAAAGGCGCACCCTGAGTCTAACGACGAATCGTCTACCGAGAGTGGCAGTAGAAACTTGAGGAGGAAGACAAAAGTCGCCAGCGTACTAGTTGCGCCGACAGCGAACACGAAAAAGACTGAAGCCGCCGAGGTCGGGCGAGAGTCGCGCAGCAAAATGTCGTCCGTATCGTTCAGCCAGGAATCGACGCCGCCCGTGGAATTCAAGAGCCCAAAGGAAATGGCACCGCAAGAGTACACCTGCGACAAGTGCGATAAGAAGTTCGACACGAAGCTGGCACAAGCGCAGCATAAACTGACAACGCACAATAAGCAGCTCGCGCTGACGTTAGAGAGAGTTACCTTCAGCTCCTTGAGTTGCGAGAAGATAGAATCGAGCGTTGATTTGCTAGAGGAGGATAAGACGACCTCCGAGGAAGCGACGGAAACGAAATCCAGCAGCGGGGCCGCAGCTAAAGACGCGGGTGATTCCCCCTCCGAGGAGGTCAACATTTCTATCGACGACGATGACGATGACGATGACGACATTTTTGAATACAAACCCAAGAAAGACGACAAGGACGACGGTGAGAAGGAGCAACCTTTGGATGCAGAAGCGAGCAAGTCGCAGCGAGAAGACGACGAATCCATGACGAAAATCCCGACTGAGGCGATTGCGAGTGAATCTCAGCCATGCGCAGACTTGACGACTGTGTCGGCGGTAACGATAACCGAGGTGAATGAGAAAGAGGACGAGGATGTTAACACGAAATTGAAGGATCGTCAAGACGAGCACGCGAATGAAGACGTTGCAGTTGAGAATCACAAGATGTTAGGCGGCGAGAATGAAGACGGAGGCGCGACGGCGGAGAACGAAGACGCGACGGCGAAGAACGAAGACGCGACGGCGGAGAACGAAGACGCGACGGCGGAGAACGAAGACGCGGCGGTGGAGAACGAAGACGCGGCGGTGGAGAACGAAGACGCGGCGGTGGAGAAAGAAGACGCGACGGCGGAGAAAGAAGACACAGGGGAGAAGACGCCCGCTGCGGAAAGAATGGGACCCGTTATCGAGTCTGACGTCCTTGTCGATGAAACAATACCCAATAACGAAAAGACCGACGAGCCGGTTGTTCCGTCGATAACTGAGGATAATAAGGACGACACTAATCAGGACACGGTCGAGCCTACCAACGAAGATTACGATGGGAGCTTCGAGGGCAATTTACAAGACAGCTGCGAAGACAATGGCGAGGACGGGGCAGAGAAGGAGGACGCGGAGGTGGGACTGTTGAACTGCGTGGATATAACGAACGATTCCGAGGAAGAGGAGGATCTAAAGGGAGAGGTTAAAAAGAAGAGGAAAATCACGCCGGACACCACCGATGAGAGGATAGCATTGGATGACAAAGAGGACTTGTATGACACCGCGATCGAGTGTGCGGAAAAGCATCGGCAGAACGCGATCGAGGCCGAGGTCATAGACATTGACGAGTTGGACGATAACAATACCATTAAGTCGACTCTTACGAATTGTGAAGCGATCCTTGAAGTGGAGAATGAAGACGGGGAGGAGAACGACGTCGTCGTTACAGCTGACGGAGTAGACGACGCAGCTCTCGAAGTGAAACCGAATAAGGCCACGACAGAGGAAACATCGACGATTGACCTGACGATGGATAACGGAGCACCGACGGTGGGCAATTTCGAACCGGAGATGATAGATGAAACGGCGGAGGCCGGCGAGAAACGCGAAGTGCAAGAAAACACGAGCAACGTGAGCACTTCGACGGACACCGTTACGAAGATAATGGAGGAGGTGTTCGATCTCGCGGCCGCCGAGGTGCAGAAACGAAGGGACAGTAACGGCGCGAGCAAGAATCTGGACGAGGAGATCGAGATGGAGACACTGGAGAACATATCGCGCGAGATACGCAATAGCGCCGATATGCCGTCTCTGGACCCGATCAGCGCTATAACGATCAACGACGAGGAGACCGATATTACGGCTTTAGATTAGTTTTTCCGCCCACGGCACTACGCGTTATAAGATTTCATTGTAGAGATTTTTTTTTTTTTCAAGCAAGTCCATCCAGACACGCTCGTGGATCACAGTTACGCTGGAACATTGTATAATAATACAAGAAAGTAATTCGAATAAAAAAGAAAAAAAATTTGAGCGAGTATACAAGATACACGTTTTACCATAGACATTTTCGGGCGAATCTTCTGACGACATTNCCCCCCCCCCCCTCTCTTTCTCTTTTATTTTCTTTCTTTCTTTCTTTCTCTCTCTCTCTCTTTTTCTTTCTCCCCCATTGATCATATCTTTGTCGTATAGGCAATGAAGGGGATCGTAACGGTATGAGAAAAAATAGTTACGGAGCTTTGTTATCATGGTACGTTGAATTTACTGAGAATAATTCGGATATTTGTTAGAAAGATAGATTTTCAACAGGTATGTCATCGGTAGTGTGTATTCACTTGCAGCATTCGTAAGGCTCGCTCTATGCGACGAGATGTCAGTTGTCACACGTAGAAGCAAGTTTTACTGGTATGATATACATATATAATGGAATATTTATGCAGATATATGTCGCATAGTGTGAAAAAGTTGCACATCATTTGCCAAAAAAAAAAATCCATACAACGCTTTTCACTCGACATGCAATAATACATTTTCATCAACTAGGTTTTAACTTCGAGAATTATCGGGGATGGAATCGTGAGTAAAAAAAATTCCTCTATCGTTTAAAACTATACGACAGTATTTTAACGTAAAGAGCGAATTTGATATATATTAAGTAATAATAAAATATATATTATTATATGTTCATTAGCATTTTTTAAATATATAATAATATATATGTTATTAATAGCATTAATAATATAATCGTACCCGATAATTGTTATGCAAGCGCAGCGACTGCACATCCTGTGCGGATTTAGTGTTGACTTAAGAAATATCATAATTTTTTAAATAAATGGTTATGTAAATATACTTTACGTATAAATAATAAATACATATTCTATATAACATTCTTCACGCTTTGCTTATGTTTCATTATTCGATTTCTATATCGAGCAATGAATTGTCTCTCTCTCTCTCTCTCTCTCTTTCTCTCTCTCTCTCTCTCTCTCTCGCTCTCTCCCTTTCTCTCTCTCTCTCTCTCTCTGTGTGTGTGTGTGTGTGTGTGTACGTTGCTACTTCGCAGTCGAGAGTACTGAAAATGGTCAAGTAATCCTACGTAAGGATTTGTGTGAAGAGTACAAGACATGTAAATGTGCAATTCTGTTGTTACGATAATTTCGCATAATATATGCAACATAATTTGTATATGTGTTACTCTAGCAAATGGACTTTAAACAAATAGAATTACATGTGTGCAAATTATACTAAGATGTAATATACAATTGTAATAACTATAGTGTGAAATTTTGTAGAGTCGCCGAACTCTCTTACAATATATCAGAGTATATCACATCGATATTACAATGCCATGCCTGATGTAAACAATAAGCGGACGATGACACGCTATTGTTAACTTCGTTTCAACGGGTGACGGGCTGGATAATATATACGAGAGAGAGAGAGAGAGCATACTTGTCACTGACAAGTGTGTCGAGCGTAGATTTTCGTTGGATCGTTTCAAATCTAATCACCGATGTTGCTTTTCGCGACGGTAATTGTGGCGATAGATAACGACGAAGACGTCGTTTCGTCGGTGTGTTTGTCACTGAGTTCTTCCGAATCTTCTGAAAATAACGATATCGTATTTTTTATGTTTACGATACGATACGGACGCGATAATTAAAATATATTTTGAAGTTAATTGAAATCAATTAAGGATATATTGCCCATTAGCGCTATATTTTCTGTAGCAAATATCTCTCGAATGGTCAGTCTTTTTCTATATAATTACACGAATAATGAATTATATATTTCAATATATACGCAAATATATATATAAAGTTTCATCGAATTATTTTTCATCAAGCTTATTTTACATTACAATTTCCTTTAAAGAGAAATAACTTTTGACAGGCTTTGAATTACTGTCAATTTTTTGATATCACTATTAAATGCAATATAGAATGCAAAATTTGTGATTTTTTATAATTTTTGAATTATCTCGACTTATAGGCAATACATCTTTAAACGCCTGATATTGAGGGACGGATTCTGTCGCGAGACTATGTTTCTAAAAAATTCGATATCCCTCTTTGTAAATATTATCTCACCGGTGTAGGATTTTTTCTCCGTGAAAAAAACGTCCCTACGATTTTTCCACTGGCAAAGTACCAATATTGCCTCCGAGTCGACCTTTCCGCACCGGCATATGAGATCAATGTACTTATCAATATTTTCTTGTCCTAGTAAAAAAAGGTGGAAGAATTTTTCAACACGCGTATATATCCGTAATCTTTTGCAAATGTCTGAAGGTCTGAAGGATATATCTTTTTATTTCAAGGTATTTTGCAAGAAATTGTGCGAGCGAAAAAGACTGCGGTAAAAGACCAGAAGTCCCAAGACATCTTTTAGAATAATAGTTTAGACATCGTTTAATTTATGTTACTTGAGTTATTATTGATTACTTTCACTTTTTAGGAAACGCGTCTCATGATTTGCGTACCTTTTGAGACTCCAGCGATAGTTCGCGCTTTGTCTGCTTCGTCGTGCAAGCCGAGTTCATTATACAGATCGAAGGACTTTTCCAAATGAGGAGTTGCGATGTCTGGTCTCCTCTGGAAGATGCAATTTTGTTAGTAGTGCAAGCTTTTATTTTTATTATTATTAACGCAAGACGTTAAGGCCGATCCTACTATTAATGTAACGTGAATTCATCGAATTCACATATATGTGTACATAAAAAAATAGCGTTAGAATTGAGTAAACGTAATTACCTGTTTTTCAGCCTCTTAAATCGAATAATATTTTTATCAATTCAAGTATATATTAGTAGCTTGTAGTAGATACTTATTTGAACGCAGTAATATCTTAAACTCGGAGGTTTAAAAAATTCGATTTTTTATCCAGTAAATATTAAAAGAAAATAAATTTTGATGCTCATAATATTCCCATACAGCACAGAAGCTTGCAGCAACATTACTGCAATGACATCAACACTGCTTGTCAACGTTACAGCAATATCGTTGCAAACTTCTGTACTGTATAGGTTATAATTTCTGTACTCTATAGGTTATAATTTAATATTTATCGCAATTGTTTTAACACATACAGTTAAATGTTGATTTATACGAAGGAAATATCATATTGTATATTTGTCAATTTTTACTTCTAGTTATTTTTACTTCTAGTAAATATTCACCAAAGAGTATCGGAGTAACCATTTTATTTAAATCAAGCAAATATTATTTGAACGGTAGCATTTCATTTTTCAGTGTATTAATCATGTGCGATGAGATATCGAGAAGAGATGTAAGGATTTCTGCTTTTCATGTTCACAGTGTCCTATGATTTTCATTCTTCTCGCAAGATGATCTACAGAGAAGATAATCGGAAGAAATTTCGATGCGATATTTTCGTACCTTACTCAAGAAGTGTTCGCCGGTGTAGTAGTATGCCTGCGCGAGTTCCCTCGTGAGCCCGAACTCGACAGCCCTTTCCCTAGATAGCCGAAGATGCTTCTCCGTGTTCATCTCGTTGTTTAATTTCTGTAAGTACAAAGCAAGCCCTTGCGATGAAAATCCGAGGTACACAACGAGTGAGTAACACGCGAATCGAAGAAAATTCTAAACAATCTATAATAATATTTTTTATAATTAAAATATTATAATATTATATAATAATAATAATATCATATATCATCATCATCATCATCATCATCATCATCATTATTATTATTATTATTATTATTATTATTATTATTATTATTCCGATTTTTATTTATTCGTTGCTTATTTCTGTCAGCGGTCCCTCGCCCTTTTATCGTACTTTAATTAAAAAAGAAGCAATGTAGAAGCACATTTTGTAGTATACACACCTTATACGCTAATGCCAGCGCCATGTGCGCGTTACACACTCCTTGTGAATCCGGGATCCTCTTGGCCATGGCCAGCAACCTAGAGAAACTCTGAAGAGCACGCTCGATGTCACCCGATCTCATTTGACTTTGGCCCAGCTCGTGCAAAGCGTTCTCGATATGTTCGCAGTAATCAGCTACGGATATCGAAATGATGATTCAGTCACCAGAATAGACGCATTGTTTACCTCGACAACGATAAGTCCAGTACTCCGGATGTATATTTGAAATATAATATATTAATTACTGCCGAAGCCCCCGAAGCGTTGCTAATTCGTGAAATATACATATACATATATATCGTTGTCGAGGTAAACAATGCGTCTATTCTGGTGACTGAATCATCATTTCGATATCCGTAGCTGATATATATATATATATATATCTATCTATCTATCTATCTATCTATCTATCTATCTATCTATCTATTAGCTTACAATCCGTCGCTCGCGCGAGAGCTTCGGTACAAGTTTTCACAGCGATATCCGGCCGATCGGCTTGTCGCGCATGCATCAGCAGCGTTTTGTATAGCAGCACGTTGCACTCGCGGAAGATGCTTTGCTCTTTTCGTCCGGTCAGTTTGGACGCGTTCCACGATTTTCCCTCGGACGTTTCCCGTGCGGCTTTCAAGTGTTCCAATGTCCCTACCGTGTCCTGCACTGATCATTCAATTAACTTCGTTGTTCTTGATTACGAAATATTTACGTATCTTATCCATCCGATAAAAATACTGCCCCCGTTTCTTCGGGAGCTTTTCGGTCCAATTTTGCAAGAAAGAAATATGGAATTTGAATGTTTTAATTGGCCGATCATCACCGTTTAACTCTTCGAGTTCCGACGTATCCTTAAGGATACAGCGGCGATATATCTTTAGAAAATTATTTCGAGTTATCTTTCTCTAGCGATAGTTTGCATACTAAGAACAAAAACAAAATCGTTTGTACTTTCTCATCAACTTTCCAATTTTTTTATAGTAAAGTTTTATAATTATTTTCCGACCATTAATTCGAATATAAACTTTCGAAAATAAGACCATTAATTCGAATATAATTATTTTCCGACCATTAATTCGAATATAAACTTTCGAAAATAAGAAAAACGGGACTCAAAATGAAGCCACTTGTTTTGCAGTGTTGAAAATATCACTGTGTCGTTCGCTAACTTCGTTCGAACAAGAATCGCCCGAATAGATAGCGTGTCATGGTGATCGTCCGCCGATTGTCGTGTTCGATGACCCCCGCGTTCGTCATTGCGCTACGGTAAAGTCGCTCCGCCACCCACCACCACTCCCACGTCATTGTTTGAAAGAACACCGCCGTATTCAGAAATGCCATTGTCATAGACACCGAGTCTCCTGAATTTACGAAGCGTCGTTCTTGGGAGAAGAGTATCTTTTCGTATCCCACATTCGACATTATCATCGAACATAAAATATATCTCTCGTGTTTATGAAATATTTATATGCAATATATTTAGTGTCATTGTAACGTTGAAAATAGAATTACTCTTTAGAAATAATTTCGCTAGTTTTCCACGTACCGACGATTCTGGCCTGCTCAAAGGCGAACAAGCCCTCTTTGAGACGCAACAACGCTTTCTTGTTGTCCTTCAAAAACGGTTTTCTCCATATTAGTGTCCCCGGACCAGCCTTCTTTCGAGTTTCCTCATCAAGATCGAATAGTTCCTTCAAATAGCTGATCGATTCGTCGTAGCCGTTTTCCTCGAGTTCATGAATGACGGCTTCGTGAGGTGGCAAGTAAAATCTTTTCGGTGGGAAATCAATATAAAAATGATCAAAAGAGAGCCACGAAATGATATTTGAAACGCCGAAATAGTAGGGGGAACGCTTTCGAGAATTTCGTACGGTTTGCGACGAAAAGATATCGGGGAAGCGTAACTTTTTTCATTTCGAGAGCCAAAGAGAACCTTATCACTTCAGAAGGTTTCAATATCGGAAGCATCGTCTTCAACTCGTCCTTAACCTTTCCCATCTCTCGCCAGCGGGCGCCGGCGAGAGTTTTAATCACCGCCGGCTCGCTTTCTCCGATCTTGAAGCTGGCCTTCGATGGTTTCTCTCCCTTGTAATCTTTCCGTGCCGTGCCCGTTCTTGGGCCAAGTTTCCGCATACTCGAGACTTTTCGATCTTCTTTTCGTCGTATGCGCACGATAACGAGGATCACAGCACTAGGACGGGAAAACAACGGAGGGGAAAGGTTGCGCGAATATCAGATTTCGCGGCGCGAACGCCGCGTAAATTTATCGCGAGATTATAAATATCAGCCGTGAATAATCGGCGCAACCGTAAAACGATCGACGACTACGGATCGGTAAAATATATAACGTTTAATATACATCCGCGTAGTCCGCGATTTGTCCGACGCGTTTGTTTTATTCGCAAGACGCGATCCCACCGACACGAATATCTGGACATAACATGCGCTGTCAATCGAGAAAGATTATATTTACAGTAAATCAACATTTATAAATCGATACAATAGCCTCAATACGTTGACGCCCAATCAGGTTATTAGGATTTTTCAATCTTGCGCGTCACTGATCGATTAACAGCCGCGTTCAGCAGAAAGCTTTATTTCACAACTGCTGGGATTTTTTGTTGTTGAAAGAACGATCCAATCTTAATTTGGAAAACTTCCGACAGTTGTAAATGTTTACGCCCAGCGAAAAAAGCAATTTAATAGACGCTTTGTGATTCTTGCTTCCGATTGGTACATTCTCCTAGGTTTTATGGAAGATCCGAAAGAATACTCCAATCAATGGACAATAATCACAAAATGCTTTGTAAGCCGCTTTCTCTGCTGAACGTAAAAACGGTACATCTAAAGTTACCAAGTAAACTAAAGTAAACGTTCAAAAACGAATCTGCATTGCCAGTCACAAAAAGCTTGCGACACTGTTTTCCGGATAAATCCCATGTCCAGAAGGAAAATTTGTTTCTTAGTAATTCCCAGGAGATACGTTTTCCTATCGGATACAAAATATGTTGCGAGACTCATCGAGAGGAAATGTTGCATTTTTTTTTAATAATAACAATACGGCTAGAAAATACCAGTAACTCTATGTTATAAACTGCATGCTAAGACTTATCGCGCGATCTGTATAGCAATGTTTAGTAAGGGAAAGTCGATGCACTTCGCGAATCGTTCGACCGGACTCGCCAGCATTTGACTCTCACATACGTTCTCACGCGTCTGTGTCGTTTACATAAATTTTACGGTACATCGACACCTTCGCACGAACGTTCAATGGATCCTTTCGAAAGTACCTCTTCGGTCCGTTGCAAACTCAGTCGCTGTCCCCAGCGTGAGCTGGTGCGATAAAATCGAATATACACCGAGGAAGCCGCGGCGAAATTGTGCGTCGAAGTACCACCGTGACTTTCCCTTCACCGTTTATTCCCTTTGCGGAAACACCCCGGCCAAATGTTGTCGTGCCGATGCACCATCATCTTTCCTCGAACTTTTCTCACCTCGTCGATCTTCTTCGTTTCGCCCGATAAAAAAAAAACACGCGATTTGTCGGGCTGCTGTTCTACTACCGTTTACTATTCTCTATACTAACGACTCCGACCGGGGGGAGGGGGAGGCGGCCATGTCTAAGCGGTCGCGACCGCCGGTTTCTTCCTCGGCTCCAGTTTGATCCTAAAGCCCTCGGCTCGCTTGAGGATGATGTCGGCTTGGAGCCTGAAGTCGCACTCCTTGATGTCGGACTTGATGTAGTAATTTCTCATGATCGTGGAAAGGATGATTTTCAGCTTGAGCATAGCGTACTTGCGGCCGACGCAGGAACGCGGCCCCGCTGAGAACGGCACGAAGGCGTAGTAATGGCGATTGGCGGTCTTTTCGGGCAGGAAGTTGTCGGGATCGAAGACTTCCGGGTTCGAGTAAAGGTGCGACTGTCGGTGCATCTTGAAGGTCGTTACCACAACGGTACTACCAGCCGGGAGCGTGTAGTCTCCCGATGCTGAAACGGGACGATCATTGTCAATGCGCAAAAGTGACAGGAAAGGAAGGCAGAAGAGGGAGACAACGGTGATGAAAAAAAAAAAATGAATAGTCGATACATCATTGGATAGTTCTACACTGAGAAAAAGATCTCTTCAGTTTTAAAGAAACCTTTTTCTCCGTGTACATACGATTTTGATATTGCTGGCAATATAATCCGATAATTTATCAGACATTGTTCCGAATTCCAAAGATATCTCACGCGACAGAATTACTCACGTAAGAGTAGAGTATTATTTGATTCGAGTTATTTGATAGGAGAAAGGCGAAGAACTGACCGAGCTTCAAGTCCTTCTTAATGTTGCGCGCGATGAGCGGCACAGGCGGATATATGCGGAGAGTCTCCATGAGACACCGCTCGAGGTACTTCATCTCCAGCGTGTCTTGGAAGGTCGCCGGTCTATCGCTGTCGCCGAAGATCTCGTCGAGTTCTTGGATAACTTTCTCCTGAATGTCCGAGTGGCAACCCATCACCGACAGAAAGAAGCTCGCTGCGGCCGCGGTTGTGTCATGTCCCTGCGAAAAGCACACGCGAGCGAATGACCCCTTCGGTCACACAAACATTCCGCTTTTATCGGAACACTCGCGAATAAAAGCGAGCGAAATTTTGAGGGAGCAGCCGACCAAGCTGCTTGTTCCTTTTAGCTGAACTGGTTGTATTAGTTCAAGAAAGAAGAAAATGCGCGAGACTCTTGCGCTTTATGGTTTGTTCTTTACAGCTGAACACTGAATCTAACTGGAGAAATGGCGACGCACTTTTACCTGTTTATCCGTCAACTGTTGAAAAACCGAGTGATCAATCTTCCTCCCTGAATTTGCGTAATACCTACCTCGAACATGATAGTGTCGACTTGCTCCTTAACTTCCTCATCTGTGAGCACGGAGTCCTTCTGACCGGCATCCATCAGCAGGTCAAGAAAGGCTTGTCTCTTTTTCTCGCCGACGTCATTGTCTTCCACATCAAGATCGTCCTTGAGACCAGTCGATTGTCCAAAGGAAAGTCCTTCCACCGTGTTCTAGAAAAACAATGAATCATATTTTCGTTATTCTTCGTAATAAATAACAATTCGTTGGGGCGGAGGGCAAGAGGGAGAGTTGATTACCTTGACGATTTGAGCGTTAGAGTCTTGTGCGATGGTGTCGATAACATTGCGTTTGCCGTTCTTGTAATCCTGCTTCTTGCGCGCGATCACTTTCCTCGTCAGCCCATGGATGATATCCAGCAGACGGATCTGTGCCTTTCCGTATTTCGAGAGATTGAACATCCAATCGGGCCTCAGCCAGATCTTCGTATGACGCAAATGCATGATGTCGCACATTCTTGAACGATAAGGTCACGATAATAACACCATATGCTCCAAATTTCCTCGCCCTTTAAATAAGGAAACCTCGTCCGAAATTTTATCGCACGGAGACAACGATGTCTCCGATAAATTTAAATCTTTCAATTAGGGATATATTATTATCCATGACTCAAAATAATGAAGGAATTATGAAAAGATTATAAATTGACATCTGCATTTAAAAGGTAGACCAAAAGTTTAATGGTAACTCAGAGCCTGGAATCAAAAGTTATTTCGCTTTAAAGGGTGGCACACATTTTTGCGTATCGCGAATTTTAAATGCCACTCTTTTCTCGTTTTCGGACGCCTATTTCCATCATTCTTGGTTTTTAATTGATTATGTTCTCGGATACTTACTTCATAACGGCCATGGCATACTCGAAGCCGCTTCGGTCCTGCGTACTCTTGGAGACACCCATCGCGGTTTCAAGAAGGATCTCGACGGTGCACTCGGACATATAGTCGTGGCAGTCGAATTCTTTGTCATTTTCCTTGCGCATTCGCTCCACCACGGCACGAGAGTTAGCGTTGAAGAGGTCTATGAAGCTTTTGAGCACGTTCAAGTGGAATGTCGGCGCGATCAACTTGCGATGGGCGCGCCATTTCTGACCTGTAAAGGTGGTTCGTCGACTCTCTTATCTTTCGCAATGAAAGCTAATGGGAGAGATAAAACAAACAATGTTTCTCCCCGCCGAGCTATGGAAACTGTGGCAGAAAGTCGCCGGGAGTCGACTATGTCGTGAGTTTCTGATCGTCGACATCAGGAGGATCGATTCCCCGCGATTTGGAGGATTTTATTTACGTTATTGACCCTTTGAGTCTCGAAGCATCCCTGAAGATATGACATATAATATCTTTAAAATAAAAAAATGTTTTGATCTATGTATGTAAAATATGCATGAAATGTTTTCTTATATTTGCGATTCATCTATATTATTTAATAGATTATTTTACTTGTAATTGTACAGGACGATCTTATTATTATCTATTTTAATTAATATCTATTCTAACTGTAGTTGTGCATCTAATGATAATTTACTTATATTGAAAAAAGTCAACTAAACTTTCATCAATTTCCTAATTTTCCATAATACAATTTTTTTAATTTTTTCCCGCTGAAATCACTTTTCAAATAAAACTCTTCAAAGACTGTTCACATCTATATTTTATTTCCTTTTATTAAATTTTTTAAATAAAATATCCAGACTCAAAAGATTAAGTAAGTTTTCGAGAGAATAAGACAGTGCGAAATCCAAAGTGTTTGAAATGACCTCGCGATTTTTAGGATTGAGGAGCCGACAGACGTGATATATGAACCGAAAATAAATTCCCGCGGATGCGTGTTCACTTTCTGCGGACTTTTCGGGTTCGATGCCGTGCTTCGTGTGCCGGACGATGTTTTACATCGAGCCACGCGAAAGTGGAAGAAGGAGGGAGAGAGTTGGAGAGAGGAAGTTAAAATGCACTGGCAAAGGGGGCCAGGAATCGGCGGAATGACGGTGCAACGATCTTGCTCCCTGACAAAAGCGAGACACCTGCGGACGGAGAGCGAGGCAGAGAAAGCAAGCGAGCGACTTGTAAATTTCCTTCCTATTCTACCTCCCCGCGAATTACCGCGGACCGATTGCATTTCACTTACTCTCCCCTCTGCCCCCACTTCTCACCACCTTGGAGACACGAGGAGAGAAAGAGAGTGGAGCGAGAGACAGAGAGGTTCTAACGATTCTAGGTGTGTCATTTAATGATATGCGCATATGAAAGATCTTTTTTTGGGGGTTTGATAAATTTGTTTTAATTGAAACGAATTTGTTTCTCGGAATGCAGTAAACATACGAATATGTCTGATTCAGCAAACAGGATTGTTTAGCTTCTTGAAACAATAAATATCTTTACGTCAAATAGCATGTTTTTTTTTGTATTTCCACACAGAGAAAAAAATTCCTCCGAATTTAAGTAAAATTTCATCAATCAAAACAAATCTACCTTTCGGAACGAAACAAAGGAATGTTGACTGAAATTGAGACAATAAAATGTTTTAATATTTTTCTAACGTAGCTTCTTTATATTTTTCTAACGTTACTTCTTTCAAATAATTTATTGTTTGCTGCATCAAAAGAGAATTGTTCGGTTTCTCAGGCAATAAATACTTTTTACGTCGGATAACATATTTCCCCGCCCTCCGGCCGGAGACAGCGAGAAAGTCGCCGAGCGAAAGACCGAGTTCTAACTGCCTCTAATGCATTTTCACGTATTTACGTTGAAATCTAACGGCCTCGCGTATTATGTCACCACTTCGCTCGTCGCGCTCGTTTTGTGTTTGTTACGTAAGCGCACATTACGGTGAGTTGAATCGGTCGGAAAAAAGGAAAAAAGAAAAGGGAGAAATACATGAAAAGTCGACCGGCTATTTACGCGATATATATATCTCAAAGAAATGGAAGGCGGTTCGCGTTAAAACGGTTGAGACACTATTTCGACATTCCGTCTATCTGTCTTCGTTTCGTCGGCGCGCAGTCGTGAAACTCGTCTGCACGCCGCAAACCGAGTGGCGGCGATTACTTAAACGTACACGATCACGGTTGCATTATGTGATCATTATACAACGTGCTGTTACCGCGAAAAGTATGGACCTGCGCGAAACTCGGTGTCAGGGAGAAATGCCGTGCGTCACGACCACTTTTTTGTCCGATACGGTACAGAAACAGGTGGGAAAATCGCGAGGAGGATTTGCCGATTCGGAAATTCTACGAGAGGCTGAAAATTGATTATTGCCGAGTAATATGAGGCGCGATAACGCATACGCACGTTACGTACGCAGTTACTCATAGCCGGCTGAGAGAGTTTCGACAATGGAAAAAAAAGACCATCTCGGTACCCCGAGAAAGTTGCGATAAAAGTCGACGGTCGTAGGCCGACGTTAGCGCGTCGCGCATCTCGTTCCTTTTGTTTTCGTTTTCACTCCGCGCGAGGGAGGGAGAGAGGGAGAGAGAGAGAGAGAGAGAGAGACTTCATCTCGCGTTTCTCCGGAAAGATGCCGGTGCATTCCGCAACGTCATTTTCCGCAGCGAATCTCATTACCGCGCTACAAATAATGATTACTTACAAGTAATGATTATACATGCGTTCGTTCGTGAGCGACGAAAGCGATGCTCCACTGACAATAGTTGAAAGAATATGAATGATAATTTGAAAGATAAAAAATATTTTCGAAAATTCCAGCAACGAGAGAGAGAGGAGAGAGAGAAGATGTAAAACAAATTTGCAGGTGATAAAAATGATTTCAAAGAACTACATTATTTTTCGTTAATTCTTTGAGTCCTGGTATATTCTTGAGGATAAAACGACATATAATGCTAAACATAAAAATATTTTCTTATTGATCTCTTTTTCTCTCTTTTTCTTCCTCTTTTTCTATCTATCTATTTATCTATCGATTTATATATCTATCTATTTGCGTCATCTAACAATGCTTTTGGAGCTATTGAATTATAATTGACTTAAGTTGAAAAAAGAACAACTAAGTATATCTATCTTCATCAATTTTCTAATTTTTTGCAATAAAATTGCCTAATCTATCCTTTTTCCTGCACTGAAACTAATTTCGAAATCGAACTTTTGAAACATTATTCACACCTGTCTGATGATATCTCTACTGAAATAAAACGTTATTAAAAATGAAGCACCGTTAAGAAGTCGGGTGTTGAAATTCGAGACAAAAGTAAAGGATTCAAATTTAATTAAAATTTGAAGCGACCAAGCGGTCGTCGCTCACCTCGTCTCATGCACTCTGCGCCCGAGTACAATGTCTTCTCACCTTCGTACTTTTAATAATGAGATTCACATTTCGAGTCATCGCGAAAGTGTGTAGTCATTGAAATTAAGGTGCGAATTCGGTGCCAAAATTAGAACCACGCTCAACTTGAAGCGTGCAAGGAAGGAGGAATGACGAAGGAGAAAATATACTTCGAAATATGCGTAGCAAAAGCGGGTGCAGTTCGTTCGGGCATTTCTCACAACGATCGTATAGCAAAAAAGTCTGGTTGAAAAGAGGTTGATATTTTACGATCGTGAGGACCGTTTTGTCGAGTGCATAACGCGCGTCATGGTTATGCATGTCGCGTGTTCAAGTAAACAGGAAATACTTTTTCTCGTTACAAGAAACCCTTATGAGGAGATTAGTTACTCAGTAAGCATCGTGCACGCAATCGCGTGCACTAATTGAGACGGGCGCATTCTCACTGGAAATACGTCGATTGCACCGGTCGGCACAAAAATTGTATCCTGGATCTGAACCGTCAATTCTAGTCAATTATACAGCGTTTGTCACAAATAGAATAATTAAAATAAAAGAAGAAAACCTGGCTCTAATTTCCATCAGTAAACAATACAAAAGGAAATTTTATAATACTTTCATGGTATAGTGAAAAGAGAATGCCTTTAAAATCATCTCTTTTAAAGTTAATTTTTCCAGATAGTATATATACGGGATAGTATATATATGTATATATATGGTCCTGTAAGAATTTATGAATGAGACATGCGTTTTAATTTTCTACAGGAAGATCGAAACTATTTCCATTCTTTCGTCACAACCTTCCTTATTTCGATGCCGTTAAGAGTTACGGTCTATCATAACATTTAAAAGGAATTTTAATTTCTCTGACAATATGAGACATAATAGTAAGACATTTTGCTATTTTGCTATTTTATTTTCATGCCAGGTAATTATCTCGCGGAATAATCACAGGTTACTGCGAGTGAAAAGGTGAGTAATACGTCTAACAGAAGTTAGATAGCGACCTGCCACCCGATCAATCGCGACTAATAAATGCGTAGCATATTTAGTCGTACGATATATGACACAGTATGTATGTTGTGAACGGTATGGTTTCTTTTCTCTTTTTTTTCCCCTCCTTCTTTCTTTTATATTATACTCTCCTCTAATCGAATCAATGAAAATGTCGCCAATTAAATCATTGAAACGTGAATCGGTTCTGTAAACCAACTCTTTTTCACTCATCAATATTACACCCGACATAATTATATTACTATAATAATATGTTTGTTGCATTAGTTAAATACCAAAATATTTATGTAAACGCAAGTAGCGTGGTATCGTCGCGCGAAGCAAATGGATTTCCTCGGTTGAGAAGGAGAATCGAAAACAATTCGGATCGCGAAGGGTTAAATATATATTTTTCAATAAGTTGTTAATTTATATATACACCTATACTTTGATACGTATTAATTATATTATGTGCCAAGTAGGTTATCTTTCAAAGCAAAAAGTATCTATTCTATTTTACTCTACTCTCTCTCTTTCTCTTTCTCTCTCTCTCTATTTCTTTCTATCTTTTCCTATATCCCTCCGCGAGAAACGACTCGTGAGACGCAACACAGGAAATACGTACCAGTCGAAAGAAGGAGACCATCTCCGAGCCAGGGCTTGAAGAATCGATATTCGCTGGCCTTGTCGATATAGATATGGCTGGACAAGATGACTTCAACGTCGCGCGGATCCATGATGAAGACTATCAGCTTCGGCCCGAGCCATACCTTGATGATTTGGTCGTACTCAAAGGACTTTCTGTATATACTACGGAATATGGCTGCAATAGGAAAAAAAGAGGATGCGTGATCGACCATTCGGAAATTGTTACGTAACGCCACATGGGCGCGCGCGCGCGCGCGCATGAGTGGCGAAAGCTGCATGATTATTTAATCCGATAAGGTGAATATGTATTGAGGAAACGAGGTGAACGATTGTCGTAACACGAAAATAGGTCTTGAAAATAATGACGGTATTGTGTAGTACGACGGGATTCGGTATTTGTCTTCAGTGGAACGAACGAAGAAAATTTTTCGGTAAAAATTATTGGAGAACTTTTGCAACCGAGAACAGGTCGGCATTATCACCTTCCCGTTTCGTATGACCTATTTATATATTTGAGAAATTATAATTTAAAACTATAGTTGAAAATTAATAATATAACAATATAACAATAATATAATAATATTTATAATTTTTAAGTATAGTTTAACTGTAGCTTTTTTATAGTTTAAATTACCACAAAATTTTGTAATGTTGCGTCATATCGGAATTATATAACCGAAATTATTATGTGTGTTGTAATCTTTAGTGATGTATACAATGAAATATATTACAAAATTTGGTGGTGATTTTTATTACAATATTTTCTTCGTGTAGAGTTCTCTCTATTAAAAAAAATCACCATGTTCCTTGGCAAGATAAATTTTACTGATATTGATAACATTAAAAAATATGGTAAAATTGAGAGGAATTGACTCCTGTGGTTTCCTAAACCACACTATGATTTTTTCCACTATGTCGCAAATTTAATTTCTTTTCACTTTACCACACAAATTAAAATAATAGAACGTCTCTTAGCAAACCTATTGATCAAATGTAACGTTATATAAATTCCACGTGGACAGTTTATGACAAAATTGTTGACTAATTGGTTCATTTGCGCGGTATAGTTCACCATTGCAAAATTACGAGCCGGTAACTAAAATCAGTGTATAACCAACAAACCAAATCAACATAAAGATTTTTCCCAACCTCAAGATAAATTAAGACATTTTGTTCGTATTAAGACATCTTGCGTATCGTTATATCTTCCTTATCTTATATAAGCCGTTTATCTTACGGAAGACTCAAATCGAAGGCGATACATCATTTTTGACATCTACACGCGGTTTTCTCTTCTTTCATCGTTCTCATTCGAATTCGCGACTGCGTTATCGATTCTCTCCTTTTTTTCTTTTTTATCGAAATGGGACCCGCATTGCTCTCGAGATAAACGGCTCGTGTGGATCCTTACTGTCGGAGCTTCCCAGGAGCATGAGGGCATTTCCGATCAGCGGCAGCCCTTCGGGACCCGGTAGCTTATTTGCTAACTCGATCATATGCCGACGAGAGATCTTGAAGTAGATGTAGTACAGGATGAGGGCAGGTATCAATAGGGAGAGGAAAACCGTGGTCGCTGACAGTCCGACGGAGGCCACCGCAGCAACGGACCCTATTATTTTCGGTTCGGCCGTCGACATGGTCGCTCTGAAACCAACGTGAGATCCAATGTTTTTCGACCTCGGCAAGATCTAGCGTCGAAAAAAAAAGGGAAGTAAACCGAAAGCCACGACTGTATCCGAAAAAATCGGTCATTCGAAGAAACCCATTATCTTCCCATTTACATTTATTAAATTTCACACGCGGAGATTCTCTCTCGTTTACGTTTCCCTCGCGAATCTCCGATCGATCGATCGATCATATTCCTACGCTGAAAAAAAATGGCTACGCTCGAGTAAATGCTTGCTAAGGATTATTGATGTGGTTTATTTTATTTGGAATAAGTAAGTATTACTTGAATGCAGCACACTGAAAGGAAAAAAGTGCTAAGATTCAATATTTACTTGATCCAAATGAAATGAACTACTGCAATATTTCTTAGTAAATATTTACTTGAACGTAGCAATTTTTTTTCAATGTATCCTTACGTCGATACACTGATATTTCTCATGGTACAACTTCGATACACAATAGACGGATTTTTCATGTTTGGTTTTTGACGGCCTTCAAACGACATCGTTTCACTGTGTCATTTCACAGACAACGGAGAATTCCGAGAAAGAATTTCATATTTATATTCAACATATTCGCTACCAGTGTCTATATATGTACGACAAAAGATTATTTCTCCTTCTATATTAATTTAAACGAACCATGTCTGTCTTACATTATTACATAAGAAATAAAAAAAAAGGCTAGCCTGTAGGAACGATTTTCCGAATGAACGACGGAATAACAAATGTTTCAATTCAAATACGCCGCGTGTAAAATTTGCGTCGGCCGATCCCGCGAGTAAAATTGTCGATTCGTGGCACCTACCTATATCTGTGTGTGTGTGTGTGTGTGTATCCTTTTATTTTTCTCACGATTACACACGATCGGATCTTCGTGATGTAGCAGCACCGGACTGGCCGGACCGACTTTACCGCGGCTCTTTATAACGCGGCACTTTCGACGACGACCACCACCACCATCGGTACATGGAGTGTCACGATGCTAATTAACAGTTCACTTTTTTTCATGTCACCGGTTTCGGTAAGCACATCGATAAGTTGCATTTTGTGGAACTTCGCTTCAGTCATCCCGCTAGGCAGAAAGATATATAATTCGTCATGCCGTTTCATTGTACGCCGGCGGACACACAATGGACAATTGCACATAAAAATTCAGTTAAAATTCGCAAGATGCGTTTGAAAAAATGATCCGGGGTCGGCTTTTTTCATATTTCGTGCATAATCTGCGAAGTAACATCTAATGCTGTCAGACGTTCAGCATACTTAGTCACAGGCTGCAACCGTTTATTTCTTCTACTTCAGAACATACAAAAAATATGACGAAGCGAACCTATAATTCACGCAAATGCGCATTAAATTCAGACAGCTGTCAAAGTTAAATATGTATATCAAATTGATGCATATTATATGTATATCAAAAATTTTAAAAAGTTACTAACACGCGCAGTAGTCAGGCAGTAGGTATGTGTACGTCGAAATTACATATACGCATGCAATTGCACCGCTGAAACGCTAGAGTGTAGTAAATAACATGGCGTATCACATGGCATTTTTTGATTCTTCTGACGAAAAGGATTTTGTTGTAATACAACTACTATTACATAGCAAATTTATTAATAATTTATAATATTATATACCCTACCGATCATAAATTTAAATAAATGACTAAATATGAAATAAATATAAAATCATAAAGGTATCTTGACATCTTAAATTGATCCTTGTGGTATGTTTGAACATTTCTGCTGTGTATGTGTGTGTGACGGTATAATATTAACAATTTTTGAAAATGAAATAAAGAAGATGTTTCATACATTTCAATATAATTCAAGCCACATACCTGATAGAGACTTTTCGTATAAATTTTCGTTATGCTTACATACACTTCCAAACTACACTTTCATGCACTGTACTGATCACACTACTTCCTGACTCAGCAGTTCACTGAACTGCCTAAATGACTAAATATGAAATAAATATAAAATCATAAAGGTATCTTGACATCTTAAATTGATCCTTGTGGTATGTTTGAACATTTCTGCTGTGTATGTGTGTGTGACGGTATAATATTAACAATTTTTGAAAATGAAATAAAGAAGATGTTTCATACATTTCAATATAATTCAAGCCACATACCTGATAGAGACTTTTCGTATAAATTTTCGTTATGCTTACATACACTTCCAAACTACACTTTCATGCACTGTACTGATCACACTACTTCCTGACTCAGCAGTTCACTGAACTGCCTAAATGACTAAATATGAAATAAATATAAAATCATAAAGGTATCTTGACATCTTAAATTGATCCTTGTGGTATGTTTGAACATTTCTGCTGTGTATGTGTGTGTGACGGTATAATATTAACAATTTTTGAAAATGAAATAAAGAAGATGTTTCATACATTTCAATATAATTCAAGCCACATACCTGATAGAGACTTTTCGTATAAATTTTCGTTATGCTTACATACACTTCCAAACTACACTTTCATGCACTGTACTGATCACACTACTTCCTGACTCAGCAGTTCACTGAACTGCCTAAATGACTAAATATGAAATAAATATAAAATCATAAAGGTATCTTGACATCTTAAATTGATCCTTGTGGTATGTTTGAACATTTCTGCTGTGTATGTGTGTGTGACGGTATAATATTAACAATTTTTGAAAATGAAATAAAGAAGATGTTTCATACATTTCAATATAATTCAACCGAATAAGCCGCTTTGCCTGACTTTGTTGCCTGAAATATGCATCACAAGAAGCATATAAATAGCTCCGTTCGGCGTAAATAAGCAAATTTTAATCATATCTATAAACCATATTTTTTATTGCACTGCAAAAACAAACGTCGTTGAAGACGTCATAATGACGTTATTCTCGAAAAAATGTTTTAGTTTAAACGCATTTCACTCGTGTACACTAGTGCAGAAAGTGTTTCGAAAAACAATTAGGTAATATTTCATAAATACAATTTATAAATAGACCTATTTATGAATATGATTTATAAATATGGTTTATAGATATGATTAACATTTGCTTATTTACGCCGAACGGAGCTATTTACATGCTTCTTGTGATGCATATTTCAGGCAACAAAGTCAGGCAAAGCGGCTTATTCGGTTTTGCTCTCTCTTTGATTAAAACGAGATAAAAATAAATCTTATTTAACACAAATTTCTGAAAAATGTTACATAATTGATACAATGACATCTAAGACGTGATACAAGTATTCATCGTTCCCCTCTTCAAAAGATAAAAGTATATGGTTAAACATGTGATGTACCTCCACATATATATATACAGGGGCGAACATATATTTACGTACAGTTAGGAAAATTAAGTTTTATTCGTTGTGTACGTATACATGAAATAGTTGAACAAAAGTCCATTACGTTTTCTACAAGTTTATAGCATATATTATGAGAGATCAAAACAGTGTTTATTGATTTACAATAACTAAGAAGTTCGCGCGATATTACCGTTTAAAATAGGAGAAAGAGACGATATAGATAAAACCGATGTATTCCCTTAGAGCGAATCTCAGAGTGAGATCTCTATAAAGATATAATTTAGCCGTCGTACTGAAATCATTTCTACTGCGTGTAATTTATACGATAAGACATACATTAATAAGATAAAATTTGGTTTGCTCATTACAGCTGTCACAACACTGTCGCAACACGTCTCTCTATTTACATTACTCGGTAGATACTGATAAGTATTGTTTACATGGGAAAAATTTTGACTTATCTACGTATTACCACAGTGTACGTAAGTACGCAGAAAATATGACACTTGAGCAAACAAACACAACAAAACTTCTTAGTTATTGTAAATCGATAAACACTGTTTTGCTATCTCATAAAATATGCTATAAACTTGTAGAAAACGTAATGGACTTTTGTTTAACTATTTCATGTATAAGTACACAACGAATAAAACTTAATTTTCCTAACTGTACGTAAGTATACAGTGGTTAACGAAAGTATTCGAACGGTTAGATTTCTTATTTTTAGCACATAAAATATGTATGTTAATCCTGAATATTTAAAACAATTTAGTGTCTATAGCAAGAAGGAAGTCCCAAGAAATACGCAGCTGGCATGGGTAACAAAAGTATTCGAACGCTTCAAAGTTATTTTTGTCGATTTATATCTCAATGCTGAATGTAAACATTAGCATCAAATGTAAACAAAGGAAGATTCAGTTGATTACAAGACATTATTTAAGTAAGAATAACGTACAGTTGTGCAACTTCTGCTCCCAAATTGGCAAATATGGTTGAAGAAATGTTTGATAAGCAGGCTCGTTAAGTGTTCCATCTATAAACATTAATTTTCCAGTTCCATTAACTGCCATATAGCTCCATACCATGATATTGCCAACTCCATGTTTGACTGTTCGTTTTAAACACTTTGTTTGCAAGTTTGTATTTGGTTCTCGCCATACATAATTCCGCCCATCCGAACTGAAGACATTGAATTTAGATTCGTCTGAGAATATAACTTTGCCCCAGAAGCAATTATTTTAATAATATAAATTTTTGCGAATTGCAATCGTTTTCGTTTACTTTATAAATGTAAGGCTTCTTTCTTGATACTCTGCCGTGATAATTATTGTCCCACAGTAGCCGTCGACACAATTGGGGATGAGCCATTGGTTAGCCACTGTATGTCCGCCACTGTATATAATCATAAAAATAAGTCACAACCGATTTTATTATCCGTATTAACAAACAATGGAGAGATTTCATTAAGCATCAATTATAACGCCTCGATTTATGATGTAAACTCTGAAATTGTTTCTCGGCGATATACTGATGTGTCTTTATCGTTCATAGTAGCGACGAGTCAAATAAATAAATACCACGTGTGTATAATTATATAAATTATATTTTATTTATAATAAGATTATAAATAACATAAATATATATATTTATTTATTTCATTAATCGCTTTAAGTAAAAGTTTGAATGAACATTTGTTATTTTTTATTATGTATATACAGGATAAGAGGCAACAGTAACTATTACTATTTTAAATATGGGAATACAAAGGAGTAAAATTTTTTAAGATTAATTTTTCGAAATTTTATTGTTACTAATGGTCTTCACTTTAAACAACTTCCGTAAATGTAAACGTTTTTCATCTTCATCTGGTCGTGAATAAAATATTTTTATTTTTGGCGATTTTCAAGATAATAATAATTATTTCTCTCACATACACATCCCCTGTATAATTATATAATTATATGATATAATAAATAGAGTGTGGTAAAGTAATAAACGTAATAAAAAGTAACGAACAAAGTTTTATGCGCGCGCTTCTGACATTTTTGACATTTCTGCAGAAACACGCAATGACGTTTTTCCTCCGTGAAGGAAAGAAACGAATGCATGAATGACATTCAGCGGATATGTCAGGTCATCGAGCAGTGACTTGACACCTAGAGTGCGTTATATCGAGCATTTTTGTCCGAGGCGTAATGCATACTCATGTAATGCATATTAAAAAAAGTTTTTGTGCGTCGTAAGATGTGCGCATACAAGGTTTGTACTTTTACTTCTTTTTGCGTCTTTTTTTGCATAGAATAATTTCATGATCTAACGATTGTCTGAGATTTTTTCACATCGCGAAACAATCAACAACTATGACCTCAAACCGAATTTAAATTATTGTCTACAAAATGTGAATAATTCTGTAGCTGGTGTGCGAAAAAACTATTATATTCTATTGCTTTCTCTCTCTCTCTCTCTCTCTTTCTCTTTTTCTCTCTCTTTCTCTCTTTTGGTTGTAGAGAAAAAGTATATAGATAATACAGAAAACTTTTATATCAATCAATAAAAAGTGGTGTAGTATCTGAATAAATAAAAATAATCGATTTATGACTCAGAAGTCTCAGGTTCGAAGCCATTAAAGCTTACGCATATTTTTCAGACACAATATAATGTTAAATCGAGTAAATGGGTTAAATGTCAAGCAAAATCAGCATATATTAAGATCTTAATCCGTAAGCAGGAGCGTGACCTTTTGAAGAATAAAACAACTGTTTGTTTACAGCTAAAATTCTTGTATATTTTTATTCTACTTCGCTAAATCTAAAATAAGTGATGAGAGCAAGTCGGTGAATGTGCCAACGTCACAAGCAAAAACGAAAAGAGAAAATATTTGTTTATTCATACGTTTGTAAGTTAATTTGGAAACCCGTCGTTTCCCTCGTGTGTCCACTTACAGGTTAAGGACAGATTATATTAAAAGAAAGTCATAAATGGTTTCTAGCCGGGAATGTGAATATGATTTCAATACTATTGTGTGATTCAGTTAATATTTTTTTACTGTAACATATAACAATTTCGACAGATTTAGGGCATAAAATGTCTCTGTCTTAAAATTACAAGTCAATCGTTTTGCCGAGACTCTAATTCGGAAACTGTTTGATCGATTCAGCCTGCTGTATACAAGGTATCCCAGAATAATTATATACGAGGTGCACCGAGAGATGACCGAGCGATCTCCCGGAGTCTCTCGAATCTCCCGCGTTTATTACGGTCACGCGAGTTTCCGTCGCGAGAGGGCGGCACGAGAGAACCGCGCGGCTTTCGACGAGTGTCGCCTCCCTCTATCTCGACCTCGCGAGACGCAGGCCAGTCTCGCGGCAACAACAACTCGATATGCGTTGCGTCACGTAGCACTGCGTCTTTCTCATCTTCGAATCGCGACGACGAGAATTTCGTTTCCGGGGTGAGCGACGAGGAACATGCGCCGCATCCCGCTCATCTCCTGACTAACGTTTCCAGATATCGCAGGTAAAAATAGCCCTTTCTCTCTCTCTCTCTCTCTCTTTATCCGCGTAACCGCGTCACGTCGACGCTCGCTCGACGCGCGCAGCCCTTCAACGTCACGTCGGTTACTCTCGTCAAGTTGGGTCAGGATGTCGCCGACCGCCGGCTGTGTTCCACCGTGTCGACTCTGCGACAGATAGTTTATCTAGCCCACGTATGCCGTCGTGCGCGCGATCACGTGATCTGGGCCGATACGGCGGAGCGCGCGAATTGTTTACGCTCCGTATGGCGTGTCGCCATGGTGACGTTGCGCGCTGTCAATCGCGAGCACGTGGCACGTAGGAATCCTATAAGTCATATGCGCGTAATATTATTTAATATTAAGTGATATTTTCCGGGCGTATGCTTAGAATATCAGACGTAATATTCGAATCATATTCTAGCAGTATTATTTAATGTCAAGTAATATTTCTGGAATATTAAGGTAGGATCCGGTGAGTTGTATTTGAAGAGCTATAGCGAAGAAAAGTACACGATCTATGGATTCTTTCCATTGCTTGAAAAATTGCTAAAGAATCACTTTATCCGTTAAATATATTGATAACGCCTGTTTCTATTATCATGGTTTCATCGACGATTAATTCAAAGGAATTGACGAACCGCATAGGCCAGTGGCTGAACCGAAAGTAATTTGCTGGCAGTAAATTTTATATGCTGTCGCAGCAAAATCTGTGAATTACTATTCGAACAGCAAAACAATTTATTAAGAGTACTAATTGCCATTCTCGTTGGATTATTTTGCTGAATCTACAAATTATTTTGCTATAAAAATTAATTAGTAAATGTAGGAGAACATTTGTTTATATATTTTTTTTATTTTGTTCTAACAGAGCATATTTATTTTGTTCTAACAGCAAACTAAACTTATATGTCCTAAGGACAAATTTACTCGGCAGAATTTTTCTATTTTACGAGGAAACCCACGGAACTATTCTCCTCCGATATTGATGAGTTTGCAATATGTGGAAATATGGACAATCGACTTTTCTTTTGGAACGAATATCGTCCAAACTATAAAAGATAAATTTCAGGCAAATTTCAGGAAAAACATTTCAGCGAATATCGTCCAAACTATAAAAGATAAATTTCAGGCAAATTTCAGGAAAAACATTTCAGGCAAAAATTAAATGGTTTCAAAAGCACCTTATGATACTTTCTATATATATTCATATTGGTTGAAAAAAAAAGTTTTCTCTACTTTTTATAGTTTAGATGATATTCACAAGATATTTGAAAGAAAAACCCGATTTTTTCAAAGGAATGTTTCATTTCCTAAAAATGAACTTGGGCACAAATATAAAAAAATATGTATATATTAAACATAAGCTCGTGAAAATTGGAAGGGGACACTTCCGTGAGTTTCCTCATTAGCGACAAGATTGTTTCCGCTCTAATTAAAAATAATTTACTGGTTTGATTATGCCAACTAAATCTTATCTTATTAATGAATATACGCAGTAGGAATGATTTCAGTACGACGGCTAAATTATTTTTTTATAGAGATCTCGCTCTGAGATACGCTCTAAGGGAACACGTCGGTTTTGTCTGTATCGTCTCTTTCTCTTATTTTAAACGTTAATATCGCGCAATGCTTTCGCGCTGCAGGCGCGCTTTCTCCGCTCCGTCGTCGTCTTGTTCGCTTGCTTCTTCGACGATTGTTGCTGTTTTTTCTTCTTCTGCTGCTTCTTCTTCGCCGGCTTCGCCTTTCCCGCGGTCTCGTACGACGCGTCGTCGTCCGAGGTCGTCGAGCTCTCACAGCGGAAGATCGCGTCGCGACGTGCGACTCCGCTCGTCGGCGTTCTCGCCGGCTGCCTCGCTACCTTGCCGACGCACGTGGACGTCACCGCACCGGCGCCGCGGAACCTCCTGCGCGGCACCTCGAGCTTCCGCGGTTGCTGCGGCTTCTTCGGCGTTGCTGACGAAGCGGCCAGCAGCTTCAACGAGTCCGCCTCGATCGCGAGGAACGAGCCCTTCGCGCCTCTCGTCTCCTTCATCCTCGAATTCAGGCTCACCGCCCGTTGCCAGTCGAACTTGGTGCTCTTCTTCTTCGACGACGCCGTCAATGACTTGGACGAAGCGTCCGCGCGACCCTCTTTCAGCCGCGCCGGCAGAATCCCCGCGCCCGGTCGTTTCCTCCGCGATTTCCGCCGCGATTTTCTCGAGTCCTCCTCTCCGGCCTCGTCGTAGGCCAGCGGCTTCTTGGACTGCGGCCTAAAGAATGCAGGCGATACGCCGTGGTGATCGATGAAGTCAGTGTATTTCTAGGGATGCTGATGTCGAGATTCGTTTAATCTTTTCATTTGATCGCGACTTCACTTTTTCTTTCGTTGTGGACAAATGAATGTCACGCGAATGTTGTGAAAATTCGGGCTAACGTATCTTCATAGACCTATCGATATCATAGTCCGATCTTAGTCCTTAAAATCGCCTTAAATTCGTCTATATAGATACGTGTAACCCCTTAATGTGAAAGTACGACAGTGAGCCCTGCGACCTCCTTAAGACGATCTTGAATATAAGATCGGTCTGTGAACACTGTCCCCTTAATCGCGAGGAAACAGACACACACACGCATATCCGAGCCACAAGCGTGCGATAAGCGGAGTAGTTGAACTCACTTTAGCGTGGCGTCTTCACCGTCCGTGGGATAGTGCATCAGAGCGTGTCTGGAAACGCCCCAGCTCAACGGCGTCTTGACGAAAGGGTCGACCCGACGTCCCGCGTCGATGCACTCGGCGGCGGTGCACGCCGGCACACCCGTCCAAATCTGCTGCCTCAACGACGTCAGCTTGATCCTGGCGTCTCGGCTCGTCGGCGCCGCCGGTGACGGGTTCCTCAGCGCTCTGGCGGCAATCACCCGACGTTACGTATTAATGTCACCCTGTCGTCTTTTCAAGTTTTATCGTCGAATGTTTGTCGTAACAGACAAGGATGATTCCTTGTTTCACCGTGGGAGAAAGTGCATTGTTCGCGGTTAACGAGGCCGTTGTTAAGCCGTACCGAAGACATCGCGTCCGCTGACGAGTTTTACGATGGTCCTTGCGCGGCAGGATTTCCCCGAAGGACACACTGCGAGGTCTCACGATCTCCGGCAGAATCAGACACTTCTTCGTTTCCTTCACCGCCCTCTCCCGCTCGGAGAGATCGACGATTTCCTCGCGACGTTCTCGCGACGTTTTCCTCCATACAGCTGCGACATCAACGGTTACACACACACACACACACACACACATACACAGATGGCAGATTAAAGGTCGCAACATTTTTTCTCAATGAATTTCGCAACACATGTTTGCCTAACAGGAGAATTTTTCAATCAGTAATATTCATGAGATATATATTTTCCCACGTCAATACATTAATACATTAAACGCTTGTGTAACTCTTCGAAAAGAAAATGTCGCAACTTTTAATCTGCCGTAAATGTTTACCTTCACATTCCCGCCCTTCACTTCTGACGAAGCTCTCGTCCGCCGAATCGGTGAGGTCGCAGAGATCGCTGCCGGGATCTGTAGTTGGCAGGTCCATCACCGCGCGTTGCGCCTGTCGAATTTATCGAGAGATTGAACTCTTCTAAATTTTCCAGAGGGAAATTCAGAAAATAGCCCGACAGCCGAGTCATTCGAATTTGAGTGATCGTACAGAGTAGATTCTCCACTTTGAGTTTTAGTAGAACAATGTGTATATATTTAAATTCATTCATTTATTCTTACATTAATCACCAACGCTCTGATTACCTCATTGATCGCTCTTGAGACATATACAACGGTACATACCAGAATTCTCCTGCGCTCCAGATAAATCCTGCCCGCGACGTCTCTTCGCACTCTCCTCCTGCAGAGGCCGACGCTCCTCGGCGGGACGAAAGTGGGCGACGGCGGGGGTACACAAAGGTACCGGCGACGACTCGCCAGGAGTTCGCCACCCTCGCTCGACCACGCAGCATCTGTGTACTCGATCCTCTCGTCGTCCGACGAGAAGCTCTCTTGCGAGGTGTCTCCCTCGTCGCTGGTCGAACCGTATAAATCGTACAAAAAACTGTCCATGTCGTAGGAGAGAAAAAAAATAACATACTTCGGGACTACACAAGAAATATTTCAGAATCCCCAGTGTTCCCGAAAACCTACCGATGTTTTACATGTCCGTCAGATAGACGCCTTTCACGGGCGCCAAATATTTTTTTCTTTCTTTTTAATATCGGTCAATGTTTATCTCCGGAATTTTTTAGTTATGATGGAAGTTGGTTACCTGGAGTAATCGGTGAGGTCGATGTTGGTGGGCTCCTCGGCATTGGATCCTTCCTTCGTCAGCCTGGCTATGATTTTATTCCGCAGTCTCTCCTGCCGTGAAAAGGGATTTCTAAACTCGGAGGCTAACTTCACACTCGCATATACTATTTTCTTTTTTTTTTCTCCATATCTTACATTGCTGAAGATGAATTTTCCACGTTCAATTTATACTCATACGATATATTTTACGGAAGTTCCGGAAATGAACTTTATAAAATATGAAATTAACGACGTGACATTTTAGCATATGGAATATGCGAATCGGATAAAGAACGAGATTCTTGATCGAATTCATCATAAACGCCAACGTTCTCGATCGAAGAGAACGCAGAAACGTTTCGAAGTGTCAATCAGAACGATGTTACCTTTGTGGGATCTTGATCAGAAAAGTCGAGAAGGGTCTCGCAGAAGGCTTTGCCGATCTGCTCGTAGTCCTGCGCGGAGAAATGAGTCCCGCATCTCGAGCCCATCTTGCTGCCACCCATTGATGCCTCCATAGTGTAACTGTTCTGCACGCCCATCGACCACACCACCACTCTGCCTGTACCTTCCTTCCCTTTCTCAACGTGAAACTTGCAGTTCTCAAAGGAGAACTGCACACACACACACACACACACAACAGAAAAGAGCTTCAAGTTTAATTTGCACGGCAATCAACGAAACCATCGAACAATCGAACCACCGTAACGCAATTTTCGAAAACTGTCTTTTCTTCCCATCGACCACATAAATGATCTTTGAAAGTCAACAGCGACTTGACTTGGATTTGGTATTTTTTAAGTTTCTCGGAATGAAATTTCTCTCAAAACAAGTGAAAATTCATCTTGAATCGGTAATGAAAATAATGCCGTTCGAAATCGCAAGAATGAACGTTTTACTCAAGCTTAAGATAGATTCTGACTTTATATGATGAATGATTTAAAAAAGAAAACATATCGACATTAATTTATCATCTTTCCATTTTGGAGAACATGATAAAGTTGAAAATATCTCTCTCTCTCTCTCTCTCTCTCTCTCTCTCTCTCTCTCTCTCTCTCTCTCCCCCCCCCTTCTTTCTTTTTGTGAGAAAAACTATAATATTCTTTCCGTATGGAATAAATATTGTTCTTTTGACGTTGGAATACATCATATTTACTTTCTAATTTCGGGCAAAAATATTCAATCATTCTGGGTGGAAAAATCGTTCGAATTCGAGCGATTCATTCTGTTATTCTGTTTTTCGAGTAAAACTTCGCTCCAAAAAAATTTCGAGAATATTTAGACTTCCACGGGAATCTGTCGTTGTGATCAATAATCGGCGAAGTTACACACGAGGACGCGGGAAATCAATAACGTCCTATCTCTTTGTCTCACCTTGTCGGCCGCATTCTTGTGCAGCATCAGCGGGAATACTTGTTCCGACAATCTGCCGCTGCATCCGACCCGTTTGCTCTCGCAGCCGTAGGCGAAGATGTTGTGCTTCCTCGAGTGAGCGTGCAGGTCGCAGTATATGGCCACGCCGCACTCTTCAAGAAGCCGGCGGATCATCAGCTTCGTGTGCCATACGGACGGGTAGCTCTCTCGCATCACCGTCCTGTACTGTCGGTTCAAGTCCTTACCGGACAGGGAACAACGATTGTTGCCCACTATCACGCCGTCCGGGTTTAGCATCGGCACCAGCTTGAAGACGAATCTCTCCCGCAGCTCCTGCGCGATTGCGCTTCGTTCAGCTTTCGAGTCGAGCATCGCTCGAAATTCCGTCGATATCGGACGAATTTTATAGTAAAAATTTTACTATAAAATCTTTACGACCGAGTAATATATCAGCATTTTTGATTTGTTATCCTTTCTCGTCTCGTATACGCTACTTATAGGGACTAACATTTGTATTATTAACCCCGGAGTGATCCCGAGAGTAACAAACGTCACGATGACAAAGGGTAGGGAGTACAGCGAGCACATATTGTGTCTCTGTTCGGTCCTGGTCTGCAAAGGATATGAAATCTGGGACAAAACGTCTCTTCTTAGGATCCAAAGACTTGGTACAAGTTAGCGAGCTTATTATACCTGATCTCAAATAAAAAAATACGGCCATGACTACAAATAAAACAGCAGGATATTATTATGGGACTGATAGTTCTGACATAATTTTAGGATCTACATTAGACCCACGCGAACGAATAATTATTACTTAAGAGCGAAGATTCGCTTCGAGAAATTTAGAGAACGCGCATTTCGCGGTCCTCCGAGGATTCGACGGACGATTTCGTGCGTCGTCTCGTCGAACGCATCTTACTCGGGCGCGATTCGTGTCGCCGGTGAGGAAGTCGATGATGCCCTTCATCGTCCAGCTGGAGGGCGTCTCGCCGGGATGCACCCGGGCGGTGATAACGACACCCCGCTTCCTGCGCGCCTCGTCGTCGTGCGTCGGCGCGGTGATCGTCAGGTAGTAGACGCTGTTTCCGGCCAGACTGCGGCACAGCAGGCGCAGCTTGGTGAACCTCGTCTTCGTAGGGTCCTCCACGATCCTGCCGAGGTATTCCTGGCGCGTTTACGCAGGCAATTAGAGAGACCGAGATTGGAGATCTGCGGGACGCGGTAAATATACAATCGCGCGCGCGAACGCGATAAACCCTTTCCGCAGGCAGGGCGGGTAGGAATGTGAAGGAATAAACGGCGCTTCGCGAACCGTGCGCGGCCTCTCCCGTATCGTCGCGGGAACATTCCGCGCGGTAATTACCGCGGACATTGAGATCTGCTCTTGCTGCAAAAATGGCGAAACGTTATTTACAGTGCCGGATCAGCAGAGAGATAGCATTCGGGTGCACGCGGGAGTCCCCGGTCGAATTTCTGCTTCTACTTTCAAACTGGAACTTCCCAACATTTGCAGACTCTACATAGGGAGAATGTGGTAAAAAAAATCATTACAGAATTTTATTATAGCCGCACTGAGAGGCAAAAATATTTAGTATTTGATGTTTTTATTAACTATAATCATCATAGTGGGAAGATCATAGTCGTGAGAACCATTTGAAAGTTAAATTTAAAAGACAAACGTAGAAATGTAAAATAATTCAGAAGAAAAATGTGAAATTTGTAATTTTGAAAGGATTTACATGAGGAAAAGTTACAATGTTCTCTCCGTGTAAAGAATGACAGTAGGTTTCGTTTTTGTGACAATTTTCGAGTATCACGATCGGCTTACCTGCAGATCGGTGTACGTGTAAGGGTAGCAGTGGGCCAAGTAAACGATGTCACGATCGTGGGGAAACGAGATGTTGAACGACAGCGTGTGCCTCTCCCGCTCCTCGTCGTTTCTGCGGAGGATTTCGCGAATCTTACACGTGCGTCGCAGGGAATTCGAATAATACTCCCAAGTACTCACGATGAGTCGTTGTTGCGATAATACGTGATGTTGTCGCCGCATCTCCGCCATCCTATGGACCGGGTGCGAGCGTCCTCGGTGGAGTAGAGTAGTGGCTTGAGGCCTTCGTTGTAGAGGCTCTCTTCTTTGCACATGTTCACGATCGAGAATCTGCGAACGTAACGAGGGATTCTTCCGAGGCTAAGATTACATACTCACCGTTTGTACAGTTAGTTGCTGACGAACAGCTGACAATAATCAGCACCGAGCTCGAGCTAACATAGAATCACTGACATGTTTTCTGAGAAAACTCGCGGTGGATCTTTTCACCGACCTTAATCTCTCAAGTGAGACAGAAGCGTGGTAGAATCGCTCTAATCTTACAATCTATTCGTCTTAATTAGAATTACACCGATATTCATCTTGATTCTCGAGGCACGTCGATTTCCTGTGAATATACTGATGCGGCATCGATGAGGCATCGATAACCAGACACCATTAGATCATTTACAAAATTTCGGCGGACTGTTTTTAACGCCAAATTTTCTTTTTTGCCGAATGACGTCTTTCATTTGACGTCAAACTTGGGACGTTGCTTGGGGTCTCGTCGGAAACACGGGGGATCGCGTTCGGAGACTTCTTGGATCTCCTACCTATACGTGATTCTACTTCTCGTGTTGGACACCCGGAAGTAGTACCACTGCGTATGCCTCTGAGTGTAAAGGTCCCTCCTGAGATAGAGCTGATAATACGTGTCGGTTATCTTCACCACTTTGCCGAGATTGCCGGATTCGAATCTCGACTCGAAGCGCAGGTCCGTGTTGTCCTCCTTCGGACGGTTGGACGCTTCGGCGAGGAAGAAAATATCGTTCTCGTTAGCGGCCTCCCTGTTATCTACGGCGCTCGACTCCCCGGAGAAATCTGCAGGAAATGGCAGTACCGCGTTGCCGCCCACGCAAGACCGGCTGAACTGCGGAAATGACAGAACCTGTCTCTCGAATTCGTTAAAAATTTATTTGAATATAGCATACTTTTTTTTGTAGGAGGGAGAGAGCTGTGAAATTTATATTGTCGAATAATTCACCATTTTCCTTGGCAAGATAAATTTTACTGATAATTTATTCTTGCACCATTAGAAAGCACAGTAAAATTAAAGTTGAAGAGATTTATGCGAAAGTAAGCTATCATATTCTCTCCATGCGGAGGAAAAATTAACGCAGTAATTACTCACGTAATTGGTGACGTTGGTAGGGCAGTAGCGAAATATCACTGTTCCGAGCTCGTCGTTGATCGGTTTCGGCCTCGGTTCCTTGCCCGTTGGGACGTAAAAGGCTTCCGGGACGCCGGGATTGTATTCGATATGACGAATTCTCTCTGAGATCACCTGAGGAAAAATACTCGGATGAAATATAGATTCGCTTAGTCGTGAGACACACACACACACAATATAAAAATCTCTTTTATTAATTATTATATATTAGTAATACAAATCTTACTATATATAATATAAATTAGATAATATAAATCTTACTAAGATGAGTGAAGATAATATGACATAGCGATTTCGTACGAATTCTTAAAGAAAAATGAGAATCGATAGGAAATTTCCGCACGAGTCGCTTCTCACCTGACATTCGGTCGGCCACCTGGCCGCTTCCTGAATGCTTCCATCGACGATGCAGCGTGCGTCGAGGACTGCTCGCAATGTTTCCTTGGAGTATCGATATCCGGACAGGCCCAAGGGTATCGCAAACAACGCCGACTCTACCTCCCGTCTCAGGATAGAGCTGTCGTAACGCTCCAGCTGAGACACTTGCAACTCCTGCGGCACTTGCAGCTCGGAAAGCACGCCACCTGCAACATTATGGAAAATTTATTAGCGAGTATATGTTTTGTTTCCAAGTTGCTCTATGCTTCCGATGCATCTCAACTGGTCGTCTTATTTACTTTAGAAGAACAATTAGAAGTATACAAAAGAAAAGAAGCATGGTTCATGCTGCGACTCCTAGAAAACTGACGAGGATAAAATAAATAATTATTAATTCATTTCTATTTCTTACACTATTTTCGACTAATTCATTAATCAATCGACGAATTAATGATAAAAACGCGCGTGTCGCAGAAAGAAAAGAAATCAGGTCAATACTTATATAATACAAGAATTTTTAATTACACAAAAATATATTCAGCGACTCGAAGAACACTTGACCGTACTTAACCTTTTGCAAAAGCTTAATTTAATTACGCCAAGTGTAGTTCGTGTAAATTGGCAACGAAATCTCGACGAGCCGCCGTCGAGCGGATTTGCGGGCTGAATTATTCTCGCACTGATGTAACCCTATAGGTGTCATAATGATAGGTCTCTCGACGAAAAAGACGTTACGTCACGCGGCGATTCGGCGCGCGATCGCATAGGTCGCTTATGAAGGATCGATGCCCGCGTCCGAGTACAACGGCCGTAATGTTCGCGACCCCGCCTCATTATAATTGCAAATAATTAATTGCAAATGCATCGTTCGCTTCAGAATGGAAATTAATTTGTCCAGTCAACGACACTACCCGACGCGATTCCGTTAATTAATCGATCGTCGGGTGAATTGCGGAAAAAAAGATTGATATTTTAGACTCTAGCCGTTTGAATAAATATTCAACTTGAGTTTTGACTTGGCATCGCGTCTTTCGTGAATTTTCATGAACAGTTCGAACTGAAATGTTGACGAAACATCGGCAAGAAGTCCATATAGGATGCAATGCTAAATAGAAAACCAAATTGAAGGAAAAAGATTGGTTAAATTAATGCGATAGCGAATGAATCGGCGTTTGGTTGGAGGAAATAGAATTTCCGGTCCTAAGAATCGAATTTACTTCGTAGGAACTAGAAATTTGGTTTCCTTCGACGAAGGACAAACGCATTCGCTTCGTTCGTCACATTAATTCAAGCAATTTATCCTTTCCGTGTTGTCTCTCCTCGTTAGAACTCACCGGGGATAGGCTGAACCGGGAACAACATGGCTTGAAGCTCCCTCACTCTGCTGCTCGACGCTGCCTCCGTCATCTTTCGTTATCTTTCGTCAGCCTCGTCCTCGTCCTGTTCGTCACGATCGCCGAGCACCGGCGACGACATCCCGTCGCCCGCGGCATTCCAGCGATCGTTCGCGCGAGGATCCTGCCTCGCGGAAGATACGTCTTCCCCGAGGAGATACTCCACGATCGATCTCTTCATCTTCCCCGACGTAGCTCACGAGATCCACGAGACCCTCATGTCGGGGCCTCTTTCGCGATCCTCCTCTTCCTCTCGACGCTCCGGGCAGATCCTGCCGGGTAATCTTCGATCTTTGATGTCCTCCTTCACCTACGAACTGATTCATTCACATCAGTCGAGGATCCTGCTCGTCTTTCCGAAGCGATATTCGGTTACGGATTTGAAAACACTGGACAAAATTGCAAAGGGGTAGAAATAAATAATGAGAGAAGTAGGGTAGAAATAATAATGAAATAGAAAATTATACAATTATACATTATATAAGGACGTCGCGGGATTCTTCTAGACCGACAAACTTAATACGATTATGAAGCACACTAAGAACATGTAATTTTTAGGTAAACAGTAAAAGTTTTAAGTAAAACAGGCAAAGAGGTATTCACTAGAATTATGTGATATTTCTTTTCTATTGAAAAAAATCAAGTGATTTTTTAAATTTAGATTCTTCCGTCCGGTGAATATTTCCTCAAAGTAAATTCTGATATTTTTAATATTACGAGCTCAATACTTGTCGCAACTGTTTTAACACTTGCAAGTGCATGTCTATTCATACGAAAGGAAAATATCATATTGTACATAGTCAATTACATTTCTACATCTAGTAAATATTTGTCAAGGAGTATCGGAGTAACCATTTTACTTGGATCGAGTAAGTATTACTTGAACGGTAGCGTTTCTACTTTCAGCGCAGATTAACGCGAACTGTGGATACATTCTTCGACTAAAAATTCGAAAAACTTTGTTAGGAGTACCGATTGCTATTTGTTGGATAAATTAATACTCTTAACGGGCAATTAATGCTTTTAACGAATCTCTCTGCTGTCCAAACAAATTTCTTGCTGTCTAAACAAATTGTTTTTTTGCTGTCATACTGACAAACATTTGCTGCTCCAGCAAACTTCTCCGTGCGGAACGTCGCGGAAATGTGCCGTTTTATACAGATCTTCCGGCGATCGATCGTACTCACCACGATTGCAATCGAGCGGATCGCTCGAGTAGAGGCCGAGCCGAGAACTCGAGGGTCACCAATGAGGATGCCAGCAGGTGCCGACGAAAAGTGCGATTCGCACTGCGAGCTCCGCGCGGAAGCCCGCTGGTTTCTGCTCGGTCGTCCGGAACGTGCGCGGGGAGGGTACGCGTTTGCCGAAGAGATTCGGTGGAAACGTTCCACGGATGATTGCCTGACAACCGTCGCGATCGTGGGCGGAGTCAGGCCGGAGGGAACGATCGTTCGTTAAGAGTTCCCGTCGTCCGGGAAGGCCGCCGGCGCGGCTCATCGACATAATATCCTCTCCTCGTGTCCTGGTTCGGCCCTGGCGACCTTTTTCCGCGAGCCAACGCTCGTAATAATCTCCTCACGGGAAATACCGACGGAGACGAGGCCCGCTCGACGATCGAATAAACGCGCTCCGAGACGTGAAGAACGCCGCTCTCGCACGACGAGTAAGTGGCGCGGGTGTATCGTGTCGATCGGCTCGCCGATGTGTCCGTCGTACACATTCTATTTTGACGTTCGACTTGTTGCGCGAGGGTAACGACGAGTAATCGACGCGAGACACGAGGATCTCTCCCTCGTGTATCCGTGATACACGAGGAAGCGATCTCGCGCCGAGTGCGGCGATCTTAATGCTCAATATTTATTTACCATTCTCGCCATCCCAATGGTATAATTCGCCATGCGTCTAAGAGGACACCTTCTTCGCGTCTCGTCCTATTTGTTCCCGTTCTGATAACACCCGGTGTAATAAATAAATAGATCGTCGCAACATCAGAACTGACCAGAGTAACCGGCGGATTCGAGTACGTGAATTCAAAGTTTCCGATCAACTCGGGCCTTTTTACTTATCGAGATTCTTTTCCCACTGATCGGCAACTGAATTAACTTGGACTAATTACTTTTGACTAATTTACTTGACTGACTGCACGAAAATATAAAGAAATAGCTCTCACGCAGGTAGAAATTAGCTGTCCATACGATACAACTGAAATTCAGTCGACTTAGCTGATTCTTCTTCTTGTTTAATAAAATGAGTCGATAGAATTTTTACTCAAACAAATAATATTTCGTATACGTTGTTTCTATGAGAGAAATTTTAGTCAAATAAATAGAAATACTAAATCTAAAGAAACTTTTTTCCCTGGTTTTTTTTCTGGTTTTTAGCTTCCATAGTTATAAACTACGTCTGGCGATTAAATTTCAGTTATATTATGCGGACAGCTAATTCCTTTTTGCGAATATTCCTTTATCTCGCGTTCGATTGTTATGTTATATTCGAAATCGCGCGAAGGTGTCCGACAGAGTTTCGTCCGAGGATGATCGCCCGCTAGCCCGAGCGAAGGTTGCCACGGAGCAGGAAGGCGGTCTACTTAGCTGGGGCGCCGGGTTTTCCGGATTATTGATCAATCAACGCGCTCCAGACTCAGGTGAACCGAAGTGGACTCGTTCCGTCATCCCGACGGCGATCGATGGGCTTCCGATTGAACGGAAGAATCGGCGGCCCGTCGTCAGAATCGTTCGCACACGCGATCACCGGGGGTTGTAACACCTCGATACGTTCGCGATAACAGCGGCGTCGATTGCACGCGAGACGATGATGATAGCGTCGGGGATAACGCGACTCCCGTCGATTGAACCGTCGGGGCTTCTCCGGCTCTTCGACTCGCCTTCGTTTCGCGTCTATCGCGATTACCATTTTGCGGGTTAAAACCGGAAGGAGACACAGTTGAGGCCGAGAATGACTCGTTTTCACGGTTCTCCTTCTCGGTGTTCGAGATTACACCGCGTTTGTTTGTTTCAGACAAAGCCGGCCTCTTCAAGTCTCGTATACAAGAAATAAGATCGCGTGTCGCAGATCCGAGATGGGACGTACAGTGACAGTGGCGGTTTGCACGCTGAACCAGTGGGCGATGGACTTCGACGGGAATCACCGGAGGATTCTGCAGAGCATACAGGAGGCGAAGGAAGCCGGCGCTGCTTACAGGAGTGGTCCGGAATTAGAGATCTGGTAATCAGCTCGAGAGCTAGTTTCGGCTCGGTTTTTCACCTCCAGGACGATCTCTCTCCGCTTCTCCGGGAGAAATTGCTCCTCCACTGGGATTTCAGGAGAGACTTCGTGCAATGCGTTAAATACGCACGTTTCATTCCCTCGGGGTATTCTTTCGGTTGCAGCGGCTACAGCTGCGAGGACCATTTCAACGAGTCGGACACTCTGTTGCACTGCTGGGAGGTTCTCGCGAGCTTGCTCAAGTCCAGCGTATGCGAGGACATGCTGATAGACGTCGGCATGCCGGTGATGCACAAGAACGTCACGTATAACTGCAGAGTGGCCTTCCTGAACCAACGGCTGCTGCTGATCAGGCCGAAGATGCGGCTCTGCGAGGACGGCAATTACAGGGAGAGCAGGTGGTTCTCCCCGTGGACGAAAGTAATTGAAAAGGCGCATTGTACTCGCTTCATTCCTCAGCGTGGAATTTCACTCGACAGATGGAGCGACAAACAGAGAAAGAGGGAGAGAAAGAGAGTGGCTCGAATTCGAGCGACTGTTCACTTTCGTCTCGAGCCTGAATTTCCCCGTTCCGAATCGTTGAGCGAACATTTTCACTCGCAATTGAGGAGTGAACATTCTATATTCCACTGTCTCTAAAGAACACGTTCACTCGAACCGATCGAGACATTCGCTCGATGTGGTCAGAATTCACTCCGAGGTTGAGCGAAGCCACGCATTCTTGAGATTTCGAGTGGTGGTATTGATTCTTCTCCGCCGCCTCGAACGAACCTCCGTTCGTTTTGAGTGAGACTTTTTGCCCGAAAAATAAAAATTTCGAGAACAGGCTCGCTGATCAATCCCAGCGGGCATCGAAGCCGGCGCACGCGATAATCCGATTGATCTCTTTTTATTGGATGCACTTGTAGGCACGCACGGTCGAAGATTACTTCCTGCCACGGATGATATCGCAGATCACCGGGCAGACCATAGTGCCTTTCGGCGACGCGGTCATCGCGACGACGGACACCTGCGTGGGCTTCGAGATATGCGAGGAGCTTTGGCATCCGGACAGCAATCACATTCCCATGTCCTTGGACGGCGTGGAGATAATCGCAAACGGTAACGTCGACGTCGCGATGTTTCGCGGCTTCTTTCCTCTCGCTACCCCGTCACCCGCTTTGAAAGTTGTCTCGCCGAGTTCGCCGGAGGTTCTACTCTTCAGATTTCTCGGAGTGGGAATCTTACTCAAAACACAATACTGAATAGCACCGGTACATTTTCACTCGAAGCGAGCGGAACACATCAGATTCACGCTTTTAGTCTCGAATGAAAATATTCATACCCGACGATTCTCCCGGAATGGAGGATTCATTTTGCACTCGAGTGAAATATCACTCGAATGCGAGCGATATTTCGGCTGCCGCACTGAGAAAAAGATTTCTTCAAGTTTAATCAGTTTTGTATGTTAGACTTTTCAACGAATACGTATCTTTATCTTAAATAAAAAAAATTTGTTTGAGATAATTTTCTTATAAAGAAATTATTCGTTTCATTTTACATATTTATTGTGACCAAAGAATATTTTATTTGGTTAAAAGATGTTACTTCAAATAATAGCGTTCTTTTTGTTAAATGCCATCGGCCTGGTCGCGATTATCGGTACCGCTCCTCCCCCCCCCCCNCCCCCCCCCCCCCCCCTGGGACGGTATTTTAGATCCTTTAGATTCACACAACGTCGCTGGTTCCATTCGAAAGGGAGCGGCTCCTATTTTGAACTGCGCAAGGCCTACGTCACAGTGGACCTCGTCAAGTCGGCCACTTTCAAATCTGGCGGTTGCTACATGTTCAGCAATTTGCGCGGCTGCGACGGCAACAGGCTCTACTTCAACGGCGGCTCCAGTATCGCCCTGAATGGCCAGATATTGAATCGCGGCCGGCAATTCGCTCTCGAGGAGGTGGAGGTGGTCGTCGCCACGTTCGATTTGGAGGACATAAGGTCGGTAGACGAGTCGTTCGACGAATTCACGGTCGCGAGGGGGTGTCACCGGCGATTTTAAACGTCCGATTCTCTGTATCCGGGGAAAAGAATTTTGCAATGAAAATTGTAGAATTTCTCACCCGAGGTTCATATCGACGTTGTCCGCCTCAATTTATTGTCCTACCGTTTCATATATATGTCAGAAAAATATTCAATGAAGTAGTAATGATAATATTAATGATGATAATCTATATTTTATGGAATAAAGTTTACTGTTAACGATTGAAAGTCTGGAAGATACTAATAAGCACATTGAAGAATTAATTTTGTTTCCAAGCGGGGTCTGAATTACACCGACAATTTCATCCTACTGGGAAATGTGGTGAAGTCGAAGCGAATGATTGATATGAAAACAAGCTGTATAAAATTCCATTTCTACGTAGGAATTATCGAAATAGTATCCGATCGCGATCGCATGCGGCTGCCGCGTCGGCGAGTTACCCGCGCGTCAAGGTCGAGTTCGCGCTAACCCCGGCGAACCTCTTCTCGGCTCCGCCGGACCGACCGCTCGATGGCCCAGTGGATCTTTACGATGACGACGATGACAACAATCGGCCCAGACTCGAGTATCACAGCCCGGAAGAGGAGATCGCAATGGCGCCGGCATGCTGGTTGTGGGATTACCTCAGGTGCGAACACAGTCCTCTTCGATCGATGTCACATCTTTCATATTTTTGTTCAAACATTTGCGATGAATTTTAGTTTCCGAGACAGCTCGTTGGCCATGTTAAAATTTACACGTTTGGATTTTGGCCGGTGGTAACTTGCAAATTTTAGGGTCAAATATCTCGAAAGCAGACGGTCGGGTGAAAAAATCTGTAGGGACAAAAAGCGTTTGTTCTTCGTCGGGAAATCGAAATCCGTCGTGAAAAATGGGACCTTCCCGGGGCATTTCTCTCCCCCACCCCCCCGGCGAAAGTCTCGAGTATGAAATGACGATTGGACAAAATAACGGATGCACGGATTAACCGCTGACTCGTGTAATCGGACGTCCTTTCAGACGCGCTTATCAAGGCGGATTCTTCCTACCGTTGAGCGGCGGTGTCGACTCGTCCGCTTCGGCGTGCATAGTGTATTCCATGTGTCAGATGATCGTCGACGCGATCAATAGGGGAGGTAAGTCTCGCGTCACGCGAAGAAGAAAAAGAAAGACAGAGAGAGAGAGAGAGAGAAAACGACGAATCTCACCGAATCTTTCAGACACACAGGTCTTGGCGGACGTGAGGAAGATCGTCGGCGACAGCGAGTACACGCCGGTGGACGCGAAACAGCTGTGCAACCACATACTGGTCACTTGTTACATGGGAACGGAGAACTCGTCGGCGGAGACGAAGGCGCGAGCGAGCGAGCTGGCCGGTCAGCTCGGCTCCTATCATCACGGCGTGCTGATCGACAGCGCGGTTTCCGCCGTCCTGGGCATCTTCCAGCAGGTGACCAAGCTGACCCCCAAGTTCCGTGCGCACGGTGGATCGCCTCGAGAGAACGTCGCTTTGCAAAACGTACAAGTACGTGCGACGCTACCCGCTCCACTTCCTCCCCAACGCGATCTCCTCCTCTTCCGGGAGTCACCGGAGGGTTTCGTTTGCTCCCGCAGGCGCGGCTACGCATGGTGATCGCCTACCTGTTCGCCCAACTGATACTGTGGGTGCGAGGCCGGCCGGGCGGCCTCTTGGTGCTGGGCAGCGGCAACGTGGACGAAGCTCTACGAGGCTATCTGACCAAGTACGACTGCAGCAGCGCCGACATCAACCCCATCGGCGGCATCTCCAAGAGCGACCTCAAGAAGTTCCTCGTGTACTTCAGGTGTGCAACGGCCATTAACCCGCGCTCTCTAAAGTAAGACCGTCCAGCCGAGCCGGTATTTAAACGCCCGACGTTTCTCGACCGACCAGGCAGAAGCACGGGATATCCGCACTGGACGGTATCCTGCAAGCGCCGCCGACCGCCGAACTGGAGCCGCTGCAGGCGGGGCAGCTCGCGCAGATCGACGAGGTGGACATGGGCATGACGTACAAGGAGCTGTCGGTGTTCGGCCGCCTGAGAAAGCAGAACTGCGCCGGGCCCTTCAGCATGTTCTGCAGGCTCGTGCATATGTGGGACCATTGCACGCCAAAGGAAGTGAGTTACGCGCTCCTCCCGCCTCGCTCTTCGCGCTTTTTCTACGTTTCTCGAACATTTACCGTTTCTCAGCAAGATAAGCTCCGCTATTGACGGTCTATTCTCGAACTACGTTAGAAAACACGGTGAAATTAGAAAGAAAATTTATATGAAAAAAAAAAAAGACAAAAACTGCACGACGTAGATGAAATATCTGAAGGAGAAACGTAGCGGACGGATGACAAATATCTGAAGAAAGTCCTGCGAATAAATGTCGCATGGGGGAAAAATGGTGGAGGGAGGGATGAATCGGCCGCTTTTAAATCGATCGATTAAAACCCTTTGCTCGTCGCAAGGTGGCCGACAAGGTGAAGCACTTTTACCGGTGTTACGCCATACACCGTCACAAGATGACGGTGCTGACGCCGTCGTGCCACGCGGAGACCTACAGCCCGGACGACAACCGCTTCGATCATCGGCCCTTCCTCTACAATTACACGTGGAAGTGGCAGTTCGCGGCGATCGACGAGCAGGTGAGAATCATCAACGAGCGGAGGCTCGGGGAGCGCGAACGAGCGCGCGTTCGGTGCGGAAACACGGTGCGTCGGCTCGTCTCCTTCGACGAGCGCGCATCCGGAAGGAGTTCCTCTCGATTGGCGCGTCGCGCTGCCGCTTGGCGTCTCGCACGCCGCTTCACTCGGAAGGCGTGAGAGACTTCTGAAACTCGTCCGTCCGTCGCCGGGGTCCCCCTCGATTCCGCGTTACCCACGTTGACGAAGGCGAGTCGAATAGTACGTTAACGGAGAGGACGTTTTCCTCAAATTTGAATTTCAACACCCGTATTAATAGTCGTTATTATTAACGCAGGCTTCAGAGTTGGGTTTGAATTTTCACTCGAATTATATGACTATGCCTATTGTCGCAATTCAACGGAAAAAATTCAGATCTCAACTCAAATATGAGTATCTCAGATGAGACAAATCTTACACGACTGTTAACACTTTACCAGCTGGAAGCCTATTAATAGGCTTTCTACTGACGGCACCGGCAGGTAAAGTGTTGATATATTGAAAGAAAAAGTGCTACACTCAAGTAATGTTTGCCCAACCCAAGTGAAATGGCCTCTCCTACACTCCTTGGCAAGTATTTACTATAGAAATATAATTCATTATATACAATGCGATATTTCATTCATACATAATCAGACATTTATTTATATGTGCTAAAACAATCTCGACGGTATTAAATTCAGGTGATATTGAGAATATCAGAATTTTAATTTTAGAAAATATTTTACCCGACAGGAAAATCGAAATTTAAGACCACCGGTATTAAATGAAATTTGAGAAACTGAAAACAGGTTATTGTGTTTACTTGATTCTAGCACTTTTCTGTACGGGTCTTATTTTCCACGATTTCATCACGGCTGCTCGAACCGGCCTGATTACGTTTTTTTCTTTTTCGCAGGTAAAACGACTCAGCAGCGAAAAGAAACCGTACAGAGTTCCAACGCCGCGCCATACCGGTCCGAAAGTGCTCAGCGCCGCGCCCAGACACTTGTCGTTCAGCCCGCTTTCCAGTAGTGAGTAAATCAAACAAAACGCGCGCGCGTTGACACACGTCGAAGCGTGCGGTTCGAGCACCAGTCAGACAAGTCTCGCACGCTCGTTCGGCGAAATAAATAAAATCTCTCGTCCTAATCGTCCGGGGAAAAAAAGGCAAAAATATAAACAACTAGAAAAGCAGCCTCGTCCTGAAACAAAAATGCCGGAACTGCGTACGAGCTGCCGCGGATCGCGTCGCCGGCCGCGTCTCGGGATTTCATGCGCTTCTACGCTGCCCCTGCGGAGAGAATCATCACCAAACCGGCGTCATTCTCTGTTGCAGATAAAGAGTATCCCGGCATATTAGTTTAACCGTAGCCGTGTAGCACTCTCTTATCATTTTGACATTGCAGCGCCGATCGCAACCGACCGGTTGTCGAATTCGATTCGCCCACGATGCTAGTGCGCCCACGGAGAGTTCCACCACCACCGGTGCGAGGCAACAATAGGCAATCGTTAGAAGAGACGGATGTTCCCAGCTAAAAGCCCAGCCGAGAAATGTATGCGAATGAAAGCGAGAAAAGAGAGAGAGCCAAGCTATTTTTTAAGAGTTGACTCGAATAAACGGTGAATGATGAAGTATTTTCGCTTTTAAATCTCGATCTTTGTTTACTTTCCCTAGCGCTTGCTTCCTTTCCCTCTTGTTTTCTCCCTTTCTTTCTTCATCTCCCCATCGTCGAACAGCCACTCGACGTGATTGAAACTTGCGGTCCACCGCAGCATCTTGACCGACGATGTCAGAAACGAGAAGATATACGCTCGAAATTCGCTTCATCATTTTTCTGTGTATTCGAAATATCAGAGACAAAAACTGTTACAACCGTTCTGTAAGCGAGTGTACGACATTCGTCAACAAATAATTCCAAAAACTCGTTTATATTCTATGATGGGTGTTATTGATGTAACGGGTTTTCGGAATTATTAGACCCGTTATTTCTGAAATTTAGTTCCAGAACCTCCGCTACGAGCCGCCACTATACTTAATGAGAAATTGAGGTCGTGATATGACTAAACGATGGAGTCAGACGTACTTCTATTTCTCAAGTAGTATGACTCAAGGGCTGGTCAGACATACTTGCCATTGTAATAAAACGTAGGCGAAATTCAACAAGCTGTAACTTCCGCAATAATAATGCTATCGAGATCGTTCAAAGTTTTTAACCACATTAGCATAACGTCACATGTAAATAAACATCATGTAACCACATGATTTTGTCAATTTTGTTAATTTTACGACAATTGACTATTGATGGTGCGAGTCAAAGAAGTGTCCAGACAATTTTACAACCCGGGAAAAAGAAATGTATGAAATGTATGAAATTTACCCATATATGACCATGCATAACCATATATGTGCACAACGAACAAATATTATTGTACTATTGTACTTCTGATGTCGATGTTAAATTAAATGACATATCATTTTTTTTTTCATATCGACAAGGGCAAAATTTATATATAATTTTATACAATTATATATAATCATACATAATCATTTTTTCCCGGAAAGTGTGCTAAATTAATCATAAATGTCATTTTACGGGTAGCGGGGAATGAGGTAATACCGGTCACCTTTGTATCTCGACCGATACGAATTGAATTGTCATATTTCTTCTTTAATAAAATACTTTAATAAAATACATTCGATTTTCAGTGAAATGTGCGTCTTCTCTGGTTTTACGCACTTTATAACCAGAAACGTCGCTGACACCGACATTATCCCGGTCAAATCGCATTTTTCGCTTTTTCACTTGCCTCTTTGGCATATATTTTTATAGAATTCTTCACACTGATCTGTATCATAGCAAACACCTGTAGGTATCCATTGCATCGAGTAGATCCTGAATCCTGAATTCCTCACCAGTTTTATGAGTTTCCGCTCAGGTGGCCGCCAATACCCTATTTTATCTTGTATCTTCTTATTTGAACGTATGACGCGAAATACGTTCACTTCCTCTCATACGTTTTCTCACCTCTAATGTCGTGAAACAAGGACAGTTTGCAGTGAGAGGTCAGGGGAGCGCCTATAAAACATGCTCCTGCATTACGTGCACAATTTACAAGTGGGACGGGACGTAATACAAGGCAAAGCGTAAATACGTGATCGACACGTGTCGACGTGCGTGTGTATATTACACGTTAATTTTTATTACCTCTCGCATACACATAAGAGCGCGCAGCCACGTTTTACCGTGAGCCACGATCAATAACGGTCGCTAATAAAGTAAAATGATAATTAATGTCCGGATAACGCGGCCGCGCTCGAATTTACAGGCTCGCGAACACGACACACCGGTGTGGCTTGTGGACAGGTGGACTACTTCGGAAGCTACACGCTCTCTCTTTCCCTCTCTCTCTCTCTCTCTCAATCTAATCCCTCTTTTTTCTCTCTTTGCACTTTTTTGTCCCGATGAATAAATAAATGAGCGTAATTCGTTTATCCCGCCGTAATAAAATTTGATAAATTCGATCACTTCGATTGGTGCAAGTTTTGTCCAAGTTTCGGCTTGAAACGCGAGCGAGCGAGCGAGCGAGCGTGTACCTCGAGGACTGTGTCACACATGCACATGCTCATCTATGAATAACGATGGTTCACACACAACACACGCACATACATACACACACACTCACATGCGCGCACACATCATACGTCATCAACGATGCCAGGCCACGGTGTGAAATTTGTCCAATCCGAAATGTGTTTCGCATGACCGTATAAAAAATAAATTGTCGTCTAATCCCGGGGAAAAAAGATCATATGTGAAATTTGCCCGTATATGAAATTACATCGAATCGACGTCGATTCAAGATTCACTTCTCACCGGCTCTCGCAACGATGCGGTAATTAGTTACGAGGATGATGTACGAATTGATCACTTTCCACATTGCTGCCCGTGATTGCCCCCCTCCCTCCCCTCCCAATCCCAATCACTCGATATCTTACGTCTGTTCCGCCGACAAGAAGTCACTTCCGCAACCGGACAATCCGACGATAAATATTATATACGTATATACAGGGTGTTTCCATGAAAGCAAACTTGATGTTGTTGTTTGCTTCACGTGGACCATCCTGCATGTACAGGATTATAATGTAATATTAACCATAGATCAATAACTAAGATTATCTCATCGGAAGTTCTCTCTCTCTCTCTCTCTCTCTCTCTCTCTCTCTCTCTCT